GTTATAAAGGTCCTGGATATCACATATTACCCCGCATTCCGAAGGGGGATGGTGGTGGTGGGATGTGGGATGTGGGATGTGGGATTGCGGCGCCCGCACAAGCTGTTTTGATCGTTCTGGTTGTTGTTGCCGCTCTTACACCTGCAGCATCTCACCCTCCCCTCTCGGTCTCACTCTCGAATCTTCAGGCGGCACCGGCGCCTAGTGTTGGAAATTCGTCGACTGATCGGCAGGGCAGGGGGTTAGCCCCACGCAACCTGCCATCGTCGTCGTATACGTCGTCGTAATGCTGGCGGGCGAGACACGCAGGATCTGGAGAGTCAAGAGGAATTACATCTTCGAAGCACGCGGCTTGTCTGCTATAACCACCCGATATCCCCCTCCCCCCCCCCCCACCAGCATCTACCACTGCACCATGTCGTCAAGCTCGACTATCCCGCAGGCTAAACAAGTTGCGAAGTCATGACAAACGTGCTTGTTCCCATGGCCGTGCCTTTGGTGGCCGGGGAGGGGGGGGTCTACTAGTGTTCGTTGTCGTCAACGCCTTTCCAAGCTTTCCGGGCGGTCTGCTGTCGGTCCAAGGGCTTTGAACGGCCCCAGCCGCCCCCTCGGCGTCTCCAAGAAACCACCGTTGTCACGTTGTGGAAATGCGACGGTTCCCTCGGCTGTGGGCTGTCCCAGAGACGTTACAGTTACAGCCAGCTGCTGCCGGCGACAACGATCGCGGGAAAACAACGCAGAGAGATTAGAAATGTCACCCTCGCAATCTGTTCGCATTATACCCCGCGACTCGGTCGCCGCTATACAATCTCCATCTAGTTGGAGGAGCGGGAGCCTTCTTGTTTGAAGTTGTGATTCTCAGACAGTGGGCTCCGACACGCTGGAGGCATAAGCTACTCTATCCCCCCCCTTTATCCCCCTCCCCCAGATTTTGCGCTTCCCAAGCGGTGAAGGGGCATAGAAAGCGGCCTAAGAAGGGGGAAAGGCTGTCTCGGGAGGCTGCATCAGGACACTGACTCTCGCTTTGGTGCGCATCCGGAAGGATGGAGATGGGGATGGGGATGGGGATGGGGCTGAATCCAGCCACGCCCATTCGAACCAGCTAGTCAAACCCGTCCAGCTCCCCTTCGTCCATTAGCTTTTTTTGGCTGTCTTGGGTTTACGGTTGTGGGCTAACAGTATTACTCCGTAGAAGCTGCTGGACTGTGAAGGGGTGGTGAGGAGAGCAATTGACCTTCGTAGTAAACTTTGTGTCACAGGGCCAGTGCCGCGACAGTCTAAACTCTCTCTGGTTTTGCTTTCCTTCTAATTCAGGGTCTCGCTTTGCCTTCGACAGAAGGGTGGAGAGGCTGGGCCACGAGGGAGAGATTCAAGGAGAAAACTCGGAAAGACTGTTGAGAAGGGGGTAGGCTGTTCGCAGGCCGCATGCTTGAGCTTAAGCCTGTTATTGATCGCATCGCGGCAAATCGATGCTGAGTGATGCCGTGTCATCGGCCACGCTCGCGCCTGTGTCGTCGTCCCCCTCCCGCGGTGGGTAATGTGACGACGGCATCACCGCCGCAAGACGAGTTTCTCCCCTTTCCTGTGCCCGGGAGTCTCGGGCCAGAGATGAGATCTCGATCATCAAAGCACGTCGCATGTAAGACGTGGGAGATGCGGGTGGTTGGTTTCCACTTCCATCGAGCATGTGGTGGCGCTGCTCCCCTCCACCCCCTTTTTCTTTTCTCCCCCTTCCTCCGTGCGCTGCGTCGCCTTCGTCCGATGTCGAAAGCTTACCATCGTCATGTCTCGCTTCCTTCCAGAACTTCCAGGGAAGGCACCTTGTCTCCCGACGGAGACTAGCGGTGAGCACGCGAGCCAGCGAGCCTACTGCCTTCCCTTACTTTCGCCCTTCCCACCACCCTTCGGTAGCCGGGTGCCGTACGGCCCGTCGTCGCGAGTCGTGGGCTGTGAGCGTGACCTTCACCCTTGGCGTTTCAAGAACCGCGGGTTTTCTTTATCCGCGGGGAATCTCTCATACCTCTTTGGGGGAGGGGGGGCGACAGCAATGGCGGCCGTTTCGCTTGTAACCGTTATGCTCGACTCGTTCGGGTTACTCGCCTTCTCCCGGTCTTCTCAAGTCGATCCAGTCAATCATTTGGCTGATGATCGTCTGTTCGATTTTCGGATCTTGAGGGGAGGGGCCCAGAAGGCTTCGGTGGTGATTGGGGAACGCTGTTGGTTGCTGTTGGCCTGGTGTTTCGTTTCGAAAAGAAAGATTGGACAAAGTGGGAAAGGCGGCACCTGCCAAGGACGTCACCGAAGATGTGTGCACATGATACCTTGGAGTATTTGGGATTTCTATATTTGTCATTTGTCCATTGATAGATCTGCGGTGTATACACATGCCATATCATATGCCCAGTGATATAATTTTGGGAGGTGGTGGTCCACGATGGCGATGGGTTAATCCTTACTAGCCACAAATACCAAAAGACAAGCGCGACTGCCAAATGTGGCGGCTTGATTATCGAGGAACAAGCAACTTGCAAGTGACTGATTGGCCATAGGTGCAGATGATCCTCGATCACAGGGTGGCTTTGAATGACTAAGGAGCTACGTGCCAGGCTGATATCCGTCAAGCTACCAGGGGTTGGATAGAGGCGCATCTCTGCAAGAGACAGACAGGGAAGAAGCTTGGACCGTATCGGCTGCCTATGATGCCCAACGTGGGGAGCTTCAATTTGGAACATCCGCTGTGAGACGGGCGGTGATCCCGAGATAGAGGTAGGGGATATCAATTTCCCTTTTCGAGTGCTTTGACATGATGTGCTGTGTGTCTTCGGATTCCATGTCGTTTGCGGTTCTTCCCGAGTTACTTCTTCTACAAGTCGTGTAGCTTATGACTCGCGGTTAACCAAGGGTGATCATCATACACGTAAGTGAGGGTGAGCCAAGTTTCCAAGTTTAGTAGTCGCAAGAGGAAATGTCACCTGGTATCCATGACGGTTGATGTGGAGTTATGATGACTGATAACTGCTGACCCGTCTTGGTATTAGTTGGCTCGAGGCGGTCTATATGCTGACGTGGCTCAACTCGCCAGCCTTTTGTTCCCTGTGAGCGAGTTGATCTGCTCACGCAGTTGCTGACTTCATGTGGACTGGGTCTTCTTAACGAATAGCACCTGTTTCCCCATTTGTAATATGTGAACGCAACCGCTTGTAATTCATAGAAGGTAATCCGGCCTCTGGCTACTTACCCCGTGGCTTGGAATAGCGCGTGTGGCCAAAGTATTTGCGTATGCATGTTGCATGTGTTCTCGAGTGACTTCGCGGGTGTCTATGGCTAATAGTCCTCACCGCGCAATATCTCTTCGATATATTCCCAGTGCAATGTTTAACAATAAGGCCGTGATGTTAACTTTTGTTTCAGCCTTCATCGTTTATTTACTCTTTCTGGTTTAAACAGTTCTTGCCGCTATTTGACCACGAATGCCCCATAGCCGTGTTATTGGCGGTCGCTCGTAGTGGTATACGATGCTGATATTCCTATCACGAGCTCGACTGGCCCAATACTCTGATTATTGAATTAGTTTTAATCACCGTCACATTAGAGATGTGACCGGGGGAGACTCTCGCAAGCGTCTGTTTGTGCTTAGGCATCTCAAGCCGCACGTAGCAAAGCGGTGGTAATGTCGCTATATTGTATTATCTCGCAGTATCAGCGGGCCTTGCTGTGACGTATTTGGCCAAATAGGAGTAAAAGACTATCCATCAAGTCGGTGTATTTATCAGTGATTAACTTCTACAATGCCAGTCAGCTTGATTCTTGCCAGCGGTAAAACCATTATACTCAGGGGATCACTATGGACTTAAAAGTACAAGTCATAGTTTCTGATGGAGGATTTCTTATGCTCGAATAGGACGAACTCTTGAAAAGTCTAATGGCGCATAATCCAAGGTCGTTTAATGAGCTCGCCAGACGCTTTCCAGGGCGGTACCTCTTCCGAACACGTTTTCGAAGTCTCTGGGCCCGGGCCATGCATGAAGGGCTCAAGAAGTGCATGTCAGAGCCGTCTTTGTTGTAACAGCATTTGAAGACTCCAACAATGTCGATGGCTAGATTACTGTTTTACGTTGGCTCCCCTAGACTGATGAGTAGCGGTCAGTTTTTGTAAATCTTGTTCCATGTTCCGAATATTGAAACAATTTTGGTGGTTTTCGCCTAGCTTGATACAAATTGCATCGATCCAGAAAGTATTTGACCTCAGTGAATTGCCAAACTTCCTTAGAAGCGCCTCGCCGTTTGACGTGATTGAGAATCTTCGCTACGCGATATGTTTGAACTCAGCAACAGTCAAGTCAAGCTCAGTTGACCGCAAGGTGAGAATAGAGAACCCGTCTCCATTCATCATGAAACAGGACGTAGGCTATAGAGCTGTGAGAATTCCTAAGGCGTCTTCACAGGTCGAGCAAGTAAGACACAACAGTTTTGTGACCTTGCCGAGGGACTGATTCTGGGTCTTTGCAGACGTGGCCAGCCAATTTGTGACTCAGCCAGAGCTGAGCCTGAATATCCACGAAAACGACGCGACGGTGGGTTACCCAGCTCCCTCTAGCCTCGTCGCCAAAAAAGCTCGGGAGGCGACTGGGTTGCTATGTAAGATTGGCGGCGCAGCCGAAACTTGCTGCTTACGATTGGATGCTTGCCACCTGAATAGGGGTGTGAGCAACGCACCTGCTTCTGGTGGCATGGCAAGTGCTGAGCAAGGTCGAAAAGAGAAATGAATAGCCAGATATATTTGCCTCGATGCCTTCGAGGCGTGCTAAGACGTGAGATATGTCATTGGCGGCAACGACATGAGCTCTAAAAGCTCCAGCAGGACAAACTTTCAGTTTATACAACAACTCTAGAATCAATAGGCACAGACTTGGTATAAGTAGCTTTGACCGGCCCTCGTCATCGGCGGGCTTAACAACCTTGACTGTAATCCAACAGGATAGCATGACCACAATCTCATCATGGTCTTCGGCACTGCCCCAGTCCCGTCAGTCTACCATGCAAGCCCGAATTCGTACGAGAAGACGTTGTCGGGCGCCACACTCGCGGGACCACATGACGTCGCTCTCCTTACTAACAGCAAGGAGGTTGAGGTTCTTGTACCTGTCAATGATGAACAGCAGGTGGCCGCGCCACACGCCATGCGTCATGTCCTTGACGTAATTGAAGGAGGCCTTGTCGATCTCGAAGGCTTTGGACTGCTGGTCGTCCAAGGGCCCGATTTAGTGGGACGCGCCGTGGCCATTCCACGAGATACTCTAGAAGAACTCGAAATATGACCGCTAGCAGCACGTCTGGAATTTCAAGCTCGTTTTCAGGCGTGTTGGTGGATGGATACCTAGGACTGAGGACTGGCAAACACGCCTTAGGGTTCGTGGCGGATGACTCATTTATCCAGAGATCATCTCCACGCCAGGCCCAGTTCCTGTTCTGGCCGGGGAGGTTGGTGTAAATTGTGGCCGTGTGGTCTTTGCTGGGCGAACATACCATTAAATGTGCAAAGGCGGCCGTGGCAGCCACCTGTGCCGGCACCAGAAGCACGGCCAGAACAGAGGGGCTTCATGGCCGGAGAAGAGAATTCACAACTAAGTAAAGATGAGATATTAATTGCTATATTGATGCCAGAATGTCGAGCGAGTGACGGCGACGGAACTTTATATGCTGCCCTGGCATCACATAGACCGGGGGTCCGAATTCATCTTCACGAAGACGACAGGTATTATCCCGCCAGCTTTTCACAACGATGGCCACTAACGCCGGTTGACAGGCCCCCGGTGACAGGCATAGGAACATTTAGCATGCTGGAGGTGTAAGAAGGTAGGTAAGAAGACCAGGGGTTCAAGCCCAGGCCTCTCGATTTTCCAGTCTCGCGACACCACAACACACCTACTTAGACACCTACCTGCACGGCGCGCCAAGTCCGAACGGGAGAACAGAAATGCCAGATCCTTCACGGGACATTGTGTGAATGGCTGCTCCATGTAGGAAGGGTTCTGATCACTGGCTTGCTGCGGTCTAGCTCACATTTACCGTTCTCATCATACCATGGTCCCATCTCCAAGGGTCGATAGCTGGGCAACCGGTCAAAACCCCTGGCTGTAGTATAATCCACAGCAGACGCACGGGAATTCTCTGAGGCGTAGTCTCCAGCGGCATGCACATGGGGCGACGTTCGAAGCGCTCGGTGCATGTTTGTCAGGTGGGACGGCAAAAACTATGCAGAGGAGACTCTGACGCAGGCCAAGCGGTGTTGGGATGGGGCAGTTGGCAACGAGTAGTTCTCTTCGTCGGCGTCGTCTGGATAAGCTCATATTATGTAATCTCAAGGCGGGCCCGTGCTCTCTGCCGTCTTGTTCTGTCCTACTAGGGTTAGAGCCCATCCATCGTACGTCGAGACCCTTCTATCAAGATTAGTTGACCTGGCCCTAGCACCCAGTGCAGTAAAAGCTGCCATTCATGATTCTTGTATGTTATTCGCCTTGCCTTGCCTTGCCGTTATAGCCTGTTGGGCTGACATACAGCTAGTAAGCACCCCCTAGAGCAGCTAAGAGATTTCAAACCCAAGTTAGGGGGTGGTGTAGGGCAGTTAACTAACACAACTGAAGCGATTCGGTATACCTGATTCCGTCTATGCTAAGTCTTCATCCTCGCCAGTCTGCCTAGCCACTGGGTGAACTCTACTTGTCCAGACCTGGGCATCTCTTCTTTCCCCTTTGTCCCTTTCCTCCGCCTGCCTTCTCTTCCTCTGCTTGCCCCCCAGCACCTCTGTCTCCCTTTTCTCCCCATCGCCCTACGCTTGGTGCTTCCGTGTAAAGTTCACAGCCCTCTGATACAACCGGTATCTATCTCGGCGGATAGAAGACACACTCGCAACCCCCAATCCGAAGCAATGGTGGTGCCAAGATGGCTCAGTATGTGTGTTGCTCTCCTCTAGTCCTACACCCGCCGTCCGTCCCATCGTTGACCTGAGCGCTTTACTCCACGCATACAGCATCCTCCTCGCCCTGAGCTTCGCCTCTTTCTGGCCCCAGCTTCTCCGACTCTGGGCCGCCGCGATGGCAACGGTATCTCCCACCCCCTCCCTACTTTCTGTTTGCTCCCATTTCCTTCTACAACCTGACATGAACCTGTTTCATGTCTTCGAGAGCCACACATCCGTGGACCGAAGTTAGCACTCCATCCCTCCAGTTTCGTTGCCTGCCTCATTCACCCGTCCGGCCACTGGTCATTTCTCCCCTAGGCCTCTCTCTCAATCTACATATTCTGCTTGCTCTTCTCCGTCGCCCCCCCTAGCGGTTGACGTCCTCGCCAACGATCCGTATGACAAAGACCAACGCTGGGCCGTGGCTCTCTTCGGCTACATGTACGCGTCCCTGGTTAACCACGCAACCCCCCTCGTCGGCGCCGCCGTCCTTTACTTCTAGGCCCGCAAGGTCCTCGCTTAGCCGCCCGGCTCGGACCCCGGCAGACTATCGCGTCACCAAGGCGTGGTATCGGCATACCGGCTTCGTGGTAGCAGACAGTCTCATTTTCGACGTCGTCTAGGCCGCCATTCTCTGGCCAGCGAAGCGCCGTGAGATCAACGGCGCGCTTGCCGGGGAGATGGAGCCCTTGCTGGCTAACTAGCCAGGTTATTCATGGTCTTCCTCGGTACAGTCTAGCAGTGTTTTGTAAGTGTTCAACGCGGCTCAAGATTTTGGCAGAGACGAACGAAACCTCAAGCGACTTTGGAGTAAGGTTTGCTTAGATGATACTCGTCGTCCATGGGTTAATAATGGTTTTTTCGTGTTAGAATTTTCTTTTTGAGCCTTTTCCCCCCGCCAAGTAATCATTGGCGATACATGCTCGTATTCACTGCCATCTGTGTATACACAGGTATTTAAAGAAAAGAAAATAGGGTAGGAACGTATTCGACGGGTAGTAGTAAGCGCAGAACTATAGACAACAACTACCATAATGAATATAAGCAGACTTGACAGGCCCTACTATGTAGAGCACTTTACTACATAGAAACAAGCTACTTTCAGTCCTATGAAATGCCCCTAAGTGGTCCTATTTCGTGATACCATAGCTATAAGGCGTGCGAAACGTGCATTGGTGCCGTGTCATTGTGGAAAGCAATGTCGAGATCGTTATAAGCGAGCCACAGGTGCTCCACTAGATGTATATACTGTTTCCAAAGTAAATTCATGTAGCAATCCACTCTTATTGTAGAAAGGGTTCAGTGATGAAAACGGGGCTGCACCGTGCACGGCACGCCGGTCATGTGCCCATAGGCGTGACCAAAGTTTCTCCCGCTAGCCGAATCGCGAACGGACTCAGCCGAAAGATTCCTGCCAGCGACCTCATCCGAGCTGCCTCAAGCATCACATCCCATTGCCAGCTCAGCCCATCATGAACTCTTTCCGCTTCGCGCGCGCGGCTCTCAGAGCCCGCCCTGCTGCCATCCGCGCCCCCCTTCAGCGCAGAACTTACGCAGATGCCGTCCCGGACAAGGCAAGCACCGCACTGCATCCTCCGAGCTGGCCCTCGAACTTCCGCTGACGGTTTGCAGATCAAGCTGAGCCTGTCGCTCCCTCACCAGGTACGAACCCGATGATTTACGAACCCATTGAGCGACACACGAGCCGACGATGACGATTCGGCACAACGGGGAGCCAATTGAAGGACCGGAGCTAATTGCCGCAACCGCAGTCTATCTACAAGTCCCAGGATGTTGTGCAGGTCAACATCCCCGCCGAGTCCGGCGAGATGGGTGTTCTCGCCAACCACGTTCCCTCAATTGAGCAGCTCAAGTCCGGCCTGGTCGAGATCATCGAGGAGAGCGGTCCCAGCAAGCAGTTCTTCCGTACGTCACATCACAACAAACTTTCCAAGGGATGGCAAGGATGAGAAAACTGACGGGGAATGCCCGCCTACAGTGTCCGGCGGTTTCGCCGTTGTCCAGCCCAACTCCGTCCTTAGCATCAATGCCACCGAGGGATACCCCCTCGAGGACTTCAGCGCTGAGGCTGTCAAGTCTCAGATTGCCGAAGCCCAGAAGGTTGCCTCCGGCAGCGGAAGCGAGCAGGACATCGCCGAGGCCAAGATTGAGTTGGAGGTTAGTGCCCACGCAAGTGAAGATGCATGCTCGAGCTGCTAATATTTGTTTCCTAGGTTCTCGAGAGCCTGCAGGCTGCTCTGAAATAGAGTGTAAAAGAAGGTCGTGGGTGACATGACGTTGTACATCAAAATACTCGGATTCCCTATCTCATCTAACATCGCATAATTGAACCCACTTGCGACGTTTTCCAGCGTTCCTTCGCTCTCCAGCTGTACCGCGTGCATGCCGTGCATCCTGCTCAACGTGTGGGGCGGTCCTTTCCTTGTGTGACGGGAGTAATGCTGCCAGGTCCTCGGCTGGTCCTGTCTCCTTTCCATGCTGCAGTCCCTGCCTGGCCTCTGCCTTCTGACTTTCCCCAAAATATATTGATCCTGACCTCTCTCGAGGCAATCCTACTACCCTAGGTAATGTTCCGCATCGCCCATCAACGAGCATCATTTCTCATACGCCCGTGGCCCATCCATTACAGTACCATTTTACGCTTACCCCAGCATCGTGCGACATTTCATAATTACTACCCACTATCTCCTGATATGGAAGATCCTTTCGTTGACGATTATCGTCCTCCCGATGTCAATACTGTCATTACGCTGCCTGACGACGGTGACATCCCAGATGGTTTAGTATCTGCGAGGCGTCAGAAGTTCACGAGGCAACCCTCTATTTGCGTGTCAGACCGCGAGCCATCACCTCCAGACGCGAGAGAACGCGAGAGTACTTGGTTCGGCTAGGGTCAGCGGACCAACAAAATCTTTGCGAGGCCGGCGACACGCAGCACACTGGTTGCCGAATCTCAAGCACCGTCTCAAGGCCATTTGTTTATGGGCTTGGTACCGGACGAAGGCTCTCAACGAAGCAGTCAAGGTGTCACGTCCACGTTACGTCGGCAGCACTCTGTCCGTCTGACACCCACCGGGAAGGCAGATCTGGGGCGTCTACAGATTCTCCAGACGGCCTCGACAGGGCGTCTTCGATTACGACCCAGCAAGACACAAAATCAGCTTGCCGCGAGGCCTACACTCTCAATGAGGCCCGCATCACATACAGAACAGTATCGTCTTTTCTCTAACCAGTCTGCTTCCTCGGATTACTCTCGGGGGACTGAGCGAACCTCGTCCACTATTCGGAAACGTCATGCTCGGGACATCTTTGCAGAGTTTGGCATCTCTCGTCCATCCGGATGGCTCTCTGATGACGAAGGAGAGGACTTCTCGCGTCACCAAGACGGGGCCAACAGCATTCCCCGCCATGCATTCAATACATGCCATTCCTGCGGAGTTGAAGTTACATCTCGAACGTATTGCAGCACGTGTGGACACGCAGTCTGCCCGCAATGTGCGAGTGAGATACCAGACGACGAGGTGTCGCTTGGCGCTGAGCACGTAGAAAGCACGCAGCAGAGCGCCTTGACGAGCCAACGGCTCACATTGAACGCGATCGAAGAGCGCAGTCGATCATCACCTCCATTGGAAGTCACGAAAATTTTCAAGAGCAGACCTGCGTCCACTTCAGCTATCCTCAAAGATAACCCATTCATCCGTGCAGACAGAAAGATGAAAACCACTGCGGCAGTGCCTCAGATAACTGATACAGCTGCCCGGGCGAACCAGGCATCGAGGCTATCAGATTGCGTACCCAAACAGGCCGACCTGGGCATCGTGGACACACACGGAGACTATGAGAACCCCAGATGCAATGCCATTCATGCTGACCACCATCCTGGCCCCTACAATGTTACGTGCATCATGGAACAGCAGGCCCCTGCAGAAAACATCGGCGACTCGGACCAGTTGCTTCCACATCGTTCGTCGGCCGACCCGGTCCAGGACAGGATTGACAAGATGTACCACCATGCCGAAGATCTGAAGCGTTCTCAGCACATCATGGAGCACCTTGCCGCAGGCTTCATTCCGATGAAAGGAGCTACCCATGTGCCTCGCGATAATGTCTCGAAGGCAACTATGGCATCGACACGTTCCATGGAAAACATGCTGTCACAGGTCAGCAGCACCGGCCTCAATCGAGAAAAACTAGTGAGCCTGGACATGGCGATGACCGAGGACAGAAAGTACACCAGGGCTTAGAAGGCCCATGATATGGAAAGATCGCGGTCCTTTGATGTGGATCCGGTCAAGAAGAAAAGTTCAGATTCTACCTCTGTACGTGCAGCGAGACAACTTTCTCGTTCGCCGTCTTGGCTGAAAAGTCCCGGTCAGGCGAGGAGCAGACTGGCTTCAATAGAGAGCAAGAGTACGCCTCAAATGAACAGCTCGAACAGAAATAGTTCCGCTGTCATGTCCTCATTGGAACCAGAGACACGCAGCCCTCCAGCATCTACGGTATCACTTCAGAGCACCAAAAGCAGTAGCCAGCTATCACAGAACCAGATCACACAGTACGGGTCTCCGACAAGCCAGCAGAAAATCCAGTGGCCGAAGTTGAAGAAAGTGGTCCAAAAGACAATACTCGAAACGAACAAGGAGCCGTTGCCGTGGATGAGAAAACAGTTACGTCGGGTGCAGAAGGAGGAAAACATGTCCCTGCAGGTTCGGGAACAGAAGTCATCCGACGTTGAGTCTTGGAGATCGCAGCTTCGGAAGACCCAAGCGTTGGATGATGATTCCCCCGGAGAACAGTACGGCGGGGGCGAAAACTACGGCGACCACAACAAGCGAGCTGACACCTGCCTGACTTGTCGTCATGAGACGCCTTCGCCATCACCATTCCTTGCTAATGCTGTCGAACTAACTCCGGATGTTACCACGGAGGCGTCAGAAGCGGCAGGCGATACTAGACAACAGGGCCGCAATGAACAGTCGTACAGGGTGAATCAGAAGCGTCTAGAGGAGATACGAATTTCAAACTCTACGCAATCGACGTCGCAAACTTTGCAAATGACGAAGGCGGAATCGGATACTGTCACCCACGTTTCTCAGACTAGCGAGGCTGTCCCTTCTGATTTGGACTCGGCTCCAGTCGAAGAGGCACGTGTCGACAGCGCTGAGCAATCCAGCGTTGAGCCACCCCGGAGCTGCACTGGCGATGTCGAGGTCTTTAGCCCAATGCCCATTATGCCGCCCAACCACACGTGCTCCTGGAAGGAACGGTACCTGAACTTGACGGCCGAAGTGCGGCAGCTGAAGGCGGAGATTGTGTCCCAGGAACAACACAACTCGCCCGGGCGGGTTGATATTGAGACCAACGCCAGCCAGAGCGACAATGACCTGGGTGTCGAGGGGCTTACCATAGTCATGCACCTGAAGGGCAAAGACGACCTTATCATCAACACTGACTTGACTCAGGTGTCCTCCAATGTATAAAACTCGAGAGGACGCTAGGGTTGAAATTGCCGTTGGAGTACGGAGTAGACTAGGCAGGATGGGCAGGACTATGGAAACGATGACACAAGCATGAGTTAGACAACAAGTAACTGAATAGATTGGTTTCATTGCTACCCTCATGGCCCCCATCGGGGTGCAATGTGCCGTAGACAACACCCAAGAGTTGGCATCAACCCGTAACCATCGAGATGGTTGCATGACTACCCTGCCCTGGTTCTCTGCCAAAGACCCGGCATGACTGCTCCAAGTTGTCCCCCCGTCCTGGGACCGATCAAAGATCAGGCAAAGTCTAAATCACCAAGCCACCAAAAAGCGGTAGTCCCAAAGCTCCTCTTCATAAAGCGTCTCTCGCAAACGAAGCCATGTAAATAAACCAATGTAAAATGGCAATCAACAAGAAATGCTAGTCTGCGCGCCGTGTTCGTCTACACATCATGCCGAACATCTAGTTCCCCGAGGCCCCGCAGGCCACAAATGGAGGCCGACAGAGCGGAGGGAGGAATGTAAATGCTTTCGGTCTATAGGGTATCAAGAAATGGCCCCTCGCGAGTCTACCTACCCGTACCCAGCCATGCAAATCCGTTGTTTGGAGCCCTCTTGTAAAGGAGACGTTTATGCGTGTTCATTTGAGAATATCCTCCCTGTTCAAGGAAGATTCTAATGCGCTGGCTCGTCTGATACTGTAGCTCTCAGTCTCTTGCAGAGTATGCATGCCTCATAGGGACGAGACGGTATCCGTGACAGCGTCGGTGCCGGTGGTCTTCGCGGAAGTAGCGTCGTGAGCAACCTTCAAGGGTCTGCCTTGAGCCTTCTCAGAGAGGCTGATGAGCTCCTCCAACATGAGATCTCGCGTCTTCTGGGTAAGCTCGTCGACATCGGCGGCGGTCAGGCCAGTCGTGGGGATCGGGTCGAGAACTGCGTCAAGACGAGTCAGCATAAGTCTAAACCTTGTCCGGATCACGATGGAAACCAGTTGACTTACCCTTGACGGGGATCTTGCCAGAGTTGAAGACGAGGCCCTTGAGCCAGAGAACGTGGCTGTAGTTGGCGACGACGCAGGGAACGATGGGCACGCCGGCCTGGACGGCGAGGTGAAAGGCGCCCTTCTTGAATGGCAGCAGTACAGGGTCCTTTGCGTAGCTACGAGTACCCTCGGGGAACATGTAGACGCTCTGGTTTCTCTTACGAATCTGATCCGCAGCGCCAGACATGACATCCCTGGCATCCTTTGTGTTCTTGCGATCGATGAAGATGGAGCCGCTCAGGGTCATGAACCAGCCGAGGATGGGCGTCTTCTTGAGCGAGGCCTTTGCGGTGACGCTGCAGTATTTGGGGAACATGGCGCCCAGCATGAGGACATCGAGCTCGGTCTGGTGGTTGCCGACGAAGACGGCCGGGCGTGTGTTGTTGAGGACGTTGTTGGGATCGATGACCTCAAAGGTGATGCCTGTCGTCAGGGCCATGAGATAGCTGAAAGCCCGGCCGGTCATCCACTGCGCGATGCCCTGCTCGCCAATGAGGCGCAAAAAGATGGAGGCGAAGACACCCCAGCCAGCCGCTAACGCCAGCGAGATGTAGGAGGCCAGGACGCGGGCGGCGAAGGCGGCCTTCGGAACGACGAAGGACAACATGTAGAGGGCAACGACGAGGGCGGCGTAACCCTTGAAAAAAGAGAAGATGAAGCCCAGAAAAGACGACATGACTGCTGGTGAGTATGCGCCTGGTCGGTGCGGCGGCGGCAGCTGGCGTAAAAAGGGTACAGGCGCGCGGAAGCTTGGAGAAAGAGATGATAGTCAGAACGGCGGGCGTTTAGCTTCTTTGGGGCGCGGTGGCGGAGGGGCGCACCTCGAGGCAGATATGTTGAGGAGGGAGCTTCGAACGCGGGGTTTAGGCAGTGGAACGAAGGATCGTCACAAGGGCGAGGCGGAACGACACAACAAGCCAGAGAGGGAGAGATGGAGAAGGGGGAGATGGAAAGAGAAGGCGGAAAGGCTACAGCTTCCGAAGACACATGTTACGGGGGGGGGAGCGTAATGCGTGAGTTGGAGGTGTGTCTCAGGGAGGGAAGATTGACGAGACTGGGGGCCAATGACGATGTAAGGGAATCAATCGGAGTTGGCGAGCAGGCTTTCCGATGAGCAGCAAGTCGTACCTTGCGGCAGCGGCCAGAGGAAAGAGAAATGGAAACGTGACAGGAACCGCACACTCACTTGCTGCACTTGGACCGCACACCTCACCGCACCATACCACAAGCTAGGCGGCGACCATGGCCCCAGTCGTCAGTCATGGGTCGTGAACTGGGTCGCAACCCAGCAAGGTCGAGGTCAGCAAGAGGTGTGGGGTTTTCCTCGTGCTGGTTCGTCCCAGAGATTTTTTTATTTTATTTTTTGGTGGGATGACTTGAGGGAGAGGAGGGGAAGCTAATGCCCCTCAAGCGCAGGTCGTTGGGGAAAAAGTGCCGGCCCACGCGTAGGTAACAACGGCTGGGAGAAGACGGTTCCTTGCTGACGCCGGCCGATTGTGCAGTATTCCATGAGTGCGCAGCAAGGTTTACCCAGGTAGGTATGTAACTGTGTGATTGAGAAGGAACATCTTCGGGTCAACTCCCCCCAAATTCGACCCAGACCGTTATGGGCGCTAGGCCACATTGAACCTGGTGTCCTGTCGACAGGTCTCTAGCACATGTCATTATGCCGTCTTCATATATACCATGTGCTGGCTACACGAGCGGACGAACGGACGAACGGGACACCTGATGAGAGAGGGAGGGGCGGGTAAAGACAGACAGACAGACAGACATTGGTGCACCAAGCATAGATAGATCTTGAGACGACTCTTTGCAATCCCACGTACGGATAGGTTGTTTTTCTTTTGTGAGCGGTGGTTGGCTTGCTGGTACTGTTGGGGAGCCATGCCAGGACCAGACGGGAGGCTAAGGTAGGTTGGTTAGCGTACCTACAAGAAGACAAGATTTTTGGCTGGTGCACATGGCACGTGTAAAAGTAAAAATGAAAGAAAAGTTGCGAATGCTGAGGAAAGACGACGGCGCCTTCCTTGATCTGTCTTCCTGACACCATTTTGGTGTACAATGTGCTACTTACCCACCCTGCCACCTACCTACCTGGGTAGGTACGTGGGTACGGTACCTAGGTAGGTAGTTGCGCTCTCAACCTGAGGCCGCAGCGTTCCAGCTAGGTTAGTCAGCATGCTGCTCCTGCTTCACCTGTAGGTACCTAGTGCTCAGGAATGAGTTGTTGGGTCTATTTCAAGTTCCAAGAAGAAAACCTCTTTCTCCGTCCACGAAAGGATCTGATATTTATGCGTGCATATCGGATCAACATGATATTGATAGATGCTCGCTAGCTCGCAATGCGACCAAAATGCAGCAGCTGGAGCAGTGTTCGTGGAAGGATGCCCAAGTTGAATTTGATTAGATACTCTAGGCCTATTTATATGGATCTTGCTGCAAATGTGCTTACAGACCAGACCCCCTTTCCTCCATGTCTTGGGGCTTCTGTATTGTTGGTCTCAGCGGCTGGAGTTGTGTTACGAGGGAGCTAAACCGTTAGAGCGGTTCTGTGTACTCCGTAGCGCAAGCTAGGATCGACGGGTATCCAACAGCCCTGTGAAAAAACCTATCTATTATGTAGAAATGACAATGACACCCTCTTCAACTCACTCAACCAACCCACCTCGCCTGATGTCTCGGAGCCATTCTATCGCCAGTACTCCGTACTCCGTAGCTGCAATATTCGTGATGGCTAAGCCAGACATCCGAGTGCTTGGCACACATGCACTCCCTTTTCTCCATCTTCAAATTGAAAACTCCACCAGAGCCTTTCAAGTAATCGGAATCTCACGAGCCTCGGTAGCTATGGATCAAAGTGCACCTAGTGTAGTGTGCAATTACCATAACCATATCTAGCTAGACCGGATCCCCCAAGCCCAGGTATCCGTGCGTACAGCGCAGTTTGCAGGGATCGTTATCGATAAGCACCAGTGACAGTCTGCTGACTAACGTTGATACCGGCGCGTCCGGTCAGGGGTCGTCGGTAACTGTTGCCCGACGGCGAGGAGCTTCGTAACCTTGACCGCACGACAGTCGTCGAGCGCATCACCAATCACCTCGAATTCGTCCTTTGAAATATCATCCTACCGTCGAAATCCACCTTTCGCTGCAAACTAAAGTCTGCCTCTACCGAATTTTGCTCTGCCCATTGTCGGCGCATCTCCCCACTGCTGTAGGATGACCTCGAGTCGCTAAGATTCCGACCATGCCCTCCCGCCGGGCACAACCCCCCCTCTCGGTCCGCTTGCCGGCGGCCAATGCCCAGCCCGAACTGCCTCCCATAGCTGCTCTTTTTCTCATCGACTTCGACGTCAAGGCTGGATACACGATTGTCTGGAAGCAGGCTGCACCCGGGATCGAGCTTGAGGGTCTTGTTGAGTACAAGAGTCTGCCATCGGGCCTTCACACCGTTCCCGACGACTTGATATACTTTGTTCACGACGGGGAACATGCTGGATTGAGTGCATTCATCAACACGCCATGTGATGAAGAGGAGGCGCGCCACGCGCGCATGATTGCCGTCGGCGTTTTGGTCCCCCTCAGCTATGGCCGCCTAGGCCGGGCATGGCGGCATGCCGAGGGCTTGAAAGGCATTGCATCGTAAGTGAATATTGCCACAGCGTGACCGTTGCACGTTTTGATTGTTTTACCAGAAAACTTGCCGAGGATCGCAAGAATACTGGTCTTCTTGATGAATACTGGGAGAAGAACAAGGCCAAGGGAGGGGCTGAGCAGGAACGGCCGGCGCTGGAGTCCCCATCCATCAGTTTCAGCGCCCAAGCTTCCCAGCCCAAAACGGCACATCACAGCCGGAACCGCTCTGCGTCAGACGGCGCTTCATTGCTGCCGTATGGCCACCGGCTCTCCCCTTACCATCCAGCCTGGAGCTTGACGGCACTCCTGGATACCTTTGGACCGCTCATTTTCCCCATTCACAGGGCTGCTTTGCTGCGAAAGCGCATATTGATCTCATGCCACGCGCCGGTGCGTGAAATCTGCAATTTTGGTGCGTCCAACTGACATGATGACGGCGGCCTGTACTGACATTGGTGCAGTATACAACATTTCCGTTCTCTCAAATATTCCCCACACGGTAACGGAGCTACTGGCTCCAACGTCATCCTCGCAACGCTTGAGGCCCCTTTTCACCATTGGAGTTCACGACATCCCTTTCTTGATGGAGGATTTTGAGGCTTCGAAACGGCGGAAGGCTGGCGGCAACGACAACTTCGCAGATGAGTCAGGTTCTGGCTGGATCGCCTGCACAACCGACAGCATTCTTGCCATGAAAGACACCCTTTGGGATATGCTCATAACCATGCCCCCACCCTATGCGCCCAACGCCAAGGAGAAGGTTTGGCCCACGGTTGAATGCCCCCGCGGCGTGCCTGTCAAAGCAACACAACGGGATTTGAGAAGGTTTCGTGCACTCAAGTCTGGTCTTGTCAGGCTGACAGCAACCACGCCAAAGCCAATGACAGCGGAAAGCCCACGATCAGACACATCGCCAGGTGTCAAGCTTACGACTGACGTCTCTCCTACCCCGAGACTCGAGAATGACAAGACCTTGGACAAGATTGTCGAGCCGCCGAGCTGGACAGCGCTGGCATACAGCGGGTTCATGTGGTGGGCAAGCGCCGGTGAGCAGGCTCGCAGCGAAGAGCAGGAGGAGGCGGCCAACGATGCGGCGTTGCTGGCAGATCTTGGGTTGACGCCACATACGCCGAGCATGTCGAAACCCCCGAAAGCACGTTCCTCGGCACCGGGCGGCATGGCCGACTCGATCGCGTCCATCACATCCCGGCCTGCTGTAGGACCAGATGACGATGAAGCAAGAGCGGAGCTCGCTATCATTGCATACTTTCATCGATTAACGGCGCAAATGCTGACAGTGATGGGGGATCTTGTGGAGCGTTCGAGCGACTGCTACGAAGACGACGACGACGAGGGGGCCCCGGACTCGAACTATGTTCTCCTCCTGTCCGACAGTGAGCCTGAGCGCAGCACCGTACGAGTTGGCAGCGATACACTCGAGAGCATGGGCCTTGATGTCTGGGATGCGCATGATGCCGAATTCGTCAAGGAGCTCATGGCCAAGTACTTTGATCGTCAACCCTACATTGAGGGTAAAGGGGTCGAGGTTTGCGGAGTCCGCGTCTGCTGAGTATTTGCTTCCAGGCTCGAAACATTTGCTTCTTCTTGTAAGCAGCACCATATATGGTGGGGGATTTGTCGGGGGCGGCACTTCTTGGACGGGCTTTATCTCACTCTCAGGCTTTTGTCCGTTTGTCTCTAGATTTGTAGGCGTTGGATAATTGGTTTCTGGAGAACGTTTGAGCTACTTTCCTGTACACGACAGTGGGTTGTGATGAAACCCGGGAGATTTTTTTCTTCTTCTTCTTTCCCCGCCTGATCTAAATGAACGACAGCGATTGCAGTGTTTGGGGTTGAACTTATACGCCATGTGGCTTGCGAATCAAATAGGACTTGGCGACTGTGTTCGAGGCCGACTCCATTCAACAACGAGCCAGGCTTCGGTTTCTTGAGAAACAATGCAACACTTTGTAGTCATTGGGTTTCTCCGTCAACAATCGGCACATGACAAAACACAACAAAGAGCCGGGGTTGGCAAAGTAGATTGATAGGGCTGACCTGGATCAGCCAAGTAAGGGGGACGCACACGGCCAAAATGGACAAAATGAGGGGTGGGGGGCATTCGGGCAGCACCATCGTCACCAAAAAGCAATTCAGCTCGCGCTGGCGGACGCTACCTAGGGGTACTTTGTGTCATGCATAGCATTTAGGTAGTGTGTGGGCTATGGAAAGGTCCAGAAGGCAAGGCGAATGAATATCCGCTCATTTTGTTATGTTGATGCCATGGCGCAAAACAAGGGACGACTTGGCCGATAATTGGCTTGGTAATAAGTAGAGGGGAACACCAAGCCAGGAACCCCGCCCTTGCTGCGCTGTGCTGTGCTGTGCTGTGCTGTGCTGGTCCTGGTGTCTGCGAGGCGGGGGAGTGATTATGCCTGAGCCCCTCATTGAAATTAGCTTCCGGTCTTCAGTAGAAATACAACATTGGACAACCCGACAGTGGTTAGACAGGCTGACAGGCAAGCATGCTGTCCTCACAGACTCACAGTCCAGTTGACCCACCCCACTTGTGCACGAGACTCATGCACCGACTTTTGGGATTGTGAATGGAGAAGAGCAGAAAGAGAAAAAAAAAAAACACCCACACAACACACACAAAGGCAACCGAACGACTACGACGAACGACTGACACCACCTGCCACCACTACCACCACCACCGCTGAGTCTTGTTCTAGGTATTGCTGCGATATCCCCTCAGCCTTGCACACCACTTGTCTTTCTCCCTCTTCCACGCACTCTCCGACCGCCATTCTAACCTGCCCAAGGGTCGCTTCGGAATAATTGGTACCTCGCCTCTCTCACTCTCGATCTCGATCCTGACCTCGAGACCTCGACTCTCTCTCGTCTCCGACCAAAGTACGGATACCCCTCCCGTGTCACAAGCTCCCAACTCAGCCCGACCGATCCCACTGCGCCTGTGGCTGTCTACCTGTTTTACCTTATCGAACCGAACTAGGCCATGAGTCTTCAGTAGTTACTACATCGCCGCTTTTACGTCAAGCAAGAATGCTGAATGCACAGCTTGGAGAGCTGCCAGGATTATAGCAGCATTTCGACACTGAAAAACTAGCCGCCTTTTTTTTTTCTTCCCTCTTCTCCTTCCCTTCCATATTGAAAAGTTCCTCTATTTTTTTTTGTCCGTCTTCCTCGCTCTCTCGCTCTGGGCCAAACCGTCTTGAATATGGACGCTCAGGTACGTTTACAGCACATGTATCGTTTGCCGCGTGGTGCCGCTTGGCCTGCACAAAACCGTCAGGCCTTTGCCCCGCCATCCCGCCCTCTATCGTCACCCATCACGCCGCCCGCCGCCCGCATGGGTCGACTACGGCGAGCTTCGCCCGATCGATGCCCATCTTGCCAACGAGGCCCGGAACGGATGATGAAATAGAACAAGCATTGTCGTTCCGCAACGGGAGCTAATGATTGTGCCCACATAGATCGAGAATGCCGTCGAGGCCGCCTTCAACGTAAGGAGCGATGATAACCTAAAGCAACAAGCCTTCGATTATCTGAACCAGCTGCGAGTCGACCCCCAGGGTTGGCAGGTCTGCACCAGCCTCTTCACCAGACCCGAGAGACCTTCCGAAGTCGTCCGCCTCTTCTGCTTAGAAGTCGTCAACTATGCCATTCATACCCAGGGCCTCGATCGCGGCAGTCTCACGTGGCTAAAGGACAGCCTCCTCGAGTACGTCCGCAACATCTACGGCCAGAGCATGCAAGACCAGTTGGATCCGTCCCATCTGCAGAACAAGCTGTCGCAGACACTGACCTACCTTTTCGTCTTCCTCTACAATGATGGCTGGGACACCTTCATCGACGACTTCCTCGCCATTGCGAGCAGCCCCAACAACACAGCCGGCGTCGTTCTTTACCTGCGAATCATTGGCTCCATCCACGACGAGATTGCCGACATGCTGTTGACGCGCAACAGCAGCGATGCAAAGCGCAACACCGACCTGAAGGATCAGCTGCGCGCACGCGATGTCCAGAAGGTTGCTCAGTCCTGGAAAGACCTGCTGGCGCAATACTCGGGCCAGAACGACATGATCGTTGAGATGATCCTCAAGGTCATTGGCAAGTGGATCAGCTGGATGGATATCTCCTTGATTGTGAACCAGGACATGCTGAACCTCCTGCTTCCCGTTATCGGACGGACAAACAACTCTGGCAGAGAGGACAAAGTCAGGGACGCCGCTATCGACACCCTTACTGAGATTGTCGGCAAGAAGATGAGAGGCCCCGAGAAGATGGAGCTGGTTTCTTTCCTCAACCTGCGCGATATCGTAGCCCAGCTCATCGCCAGCGCCCCCCTGAGCGAGCTCAAGTCCACTCCTCAATATGACACTGACCTCGCCGAGGCCGTCGCGAAGCTTGTCAATACTGTCATGGCTGACATCGTGCGGGCCCTTGAGGATGGACAAGCCGGTGACGATACCCGAGCCAAGTCTGAGCAACATCTTCAACACTTCCTTCCGTTCCTCCTCCGATTCTTCTCTGACGAGTACGACGAAGTCTGCTCCACTGTCATCCCCTCGCTGACCGACCTCCTTACGTTGCTGCGCAAGGTCGGCACCAACCTCCCCGCTTCCTACAAGGAGATGCTTCCGCCCATCCTCAACGCTATCATAATGAAGATGCGCTACGACGAGACGTCAAGCTGGGGCGATGAGGACGAGCAGACGGACGAGGCCGAGTTCCAGGAACTGCGCAAGCGACTGCAGGTTCTTCAAAAGACCGTGGCAGCCGTGGACCAGGAGCTTTACATTGAGGTCCTGAGCAATCTCGTGTCCCAGACCTTCAGCACTCTCGACCAGCAAGGGTCTCGGATGGATTGGAGAGACCTCGACCTGGCGCTTCACGAGATGTATCTCTTTGGCGAGCTTGCGCTGCCGAATCACGGGCTGGGTACCAAGAGCCAACCCTCGAGCACAGCAACAGAACGGCTGACCATCATGGTGACCAAGATGGTTCAGTCCGGTGAGTGCCGTTTCTGTCCACATTCCCGACGAAATCTGACCCTAAGCAGGAATTGCCAACTTCCCACACCCTGCGATTTTGCTCCAGTACATGGAAATTTGTGTCCGGTACTGGCAAGTGTTTGATGCGCATCAAGAATACATCCCCCAGGTATTGGAGAACTTTGTGCGGTTGGTGCATCACGACCACGTCCGTATCAAGACGCGGTCGTGGTACCTCTTCCAGAGATTCGTCAAGTTCCTCAGGGCCCAGGTCGGTAACGTTGCGGAGACCGTCATCCAGTCCATTAGCGACCTGCTTCCCATCAAGGCCGAGGTCTCCGAAAACAACGGCGATGATGACATGTCTTCGGACGAATCCGACCACTCCGCCGACGCCCTGTTCACCAGCCAGCTCTACCTTTTCGAGGCAATTGGCTGCATTGCGTCGACTGGGAGCACACCTGCAGACAAGCAGGCCTACTACGCCCGCCTGGTGATGAACCCCTTGTTCAGTGACATGGAAACACATCTGCCAAAAGCAAAGTCCGGCGACGCCCAAGCCATTCTTCAAATACACCACATCATCCTGGCCCTTGGTCGCCTTGCCCACGGGTTCTCGGACTGGCAGCCCGGAAGCAACTCGGCCCAAAATCGCCCCCCTCCGGACAAACTTGTTTCTGACGAATTCTCAAGAGCCGCCGAAGCTATCCTGATCGCCCTCAGCGAGCTCAACAGCTCTACGGACATCCGTACTGCTTGCCGCGCGTCCTTCTCCAAGTTGCTGGGCGTTCTCGGATCTGCTGTGTTGCCCCAGCTCCCCCAGTGGATCGAGGGATTCCTCTCCCAGAGCTCCTCAAAGGACGAGATGGCTATTTTCTTACGCTTGCTTGACCAGATCGTGTTTGGCTTCAAGACCGAGATTTTCAATGTCTTGAATATGCTGCTCACCCCCTTGCTGCAGCGGATCTTTGCCGGTCTCTCCGAGCCAGTTACCGGCACCGATGACGAGATCCAGCTCGGAGAACTCCGCCGGGAGTACCTGTCGTTCTTGTTGGTAATCTTGAACAACGACCTGCAGTCGGTTTTCATCAGCGAGGCCAACCAGGGCTTCTTCGAGTCACTGGTTAACTCCGTCCTCACCCTGGGCAGAACTCTGGTGGCGGAGAACATCGGACCTAGCAGGCTGGCCTTCAGCGTGTTGTCGCGCATGGTCGTCGTCTGGGGTGGCACGGACTGCGCAAAGATTGCGGAGAACCCCTCGGCGCCCAGCGGCTCCCCGAACCCGACCATCCCCGGATTCGACCGCTTCATGATCGACCGTTTCCACCCGCTCTGCTGGGAGGTTTTCCAGGACCCCAACTTCAGGCCCCACAACGACGCGCAGAGCAAGCAGGTCCTCAACGAGATCGCCGGTCTCGAGCAGGCCATATATACCAAGACGGGAGAAATGTTCATTCAACACCTGCAGTCGTCACTGTTCCCGCACCTGGGCATCGACGGGTCCGACTTTCTCCGATCCATGTCGACGTCCGTGGATAGGAAAGGGTTTTCGAGTTATCTGCAGGGGCTCCTAAAGAGCCGTAGATGATGAGGATGTGGCAAGGGTCAGGCATGGAAATTTGATAGGGCATGTGGTGAGAGGACGATGATGAGGAGGAGGCATTATAGGCGTATGATGGATGGAGTGGAAGGGGATTTATGGGTGCGGGAGGAGAAGGAAATGCTCGGAAACTCTCTTCGTCTTGGCCACTTTTCTTTGTTTACATATCCACTGGCCGCATCGCCTTGGAGTTGAGGGAGGCATTAGAGATTAATGGACAAATGACAAAAAAGAATCACGTTCATCACCCATCTTGCCCGTCTTCAAGATGTCAAAGGGCATAGGGTGTCTCTTTGGACCCGGCCTATCCTCTTCTCTGCTTGATTGACGCACGTGTTTTGATGCCGTCGTCCAGTTGCTCTGGGCTCTTGTACGACGCCCATCCCAGAGGAAACATCTAACCGATGACGATGCTGTCGCACCCCTGCAAGTCGCCAGTCGCAACCTCTTCACTGTCCGTCGTTCACAAGCCCCCCGTACTTGTCCCCTTAGCGGAGTCCTACCAGGATTGATTGTAACCACTGCCGCAACTGCGCCCCAGTCGGTCCTGAGTATTCATGTCAACCCAACCCATGATCAACCCCATTGAACGAGTAAAAGTCCATAGTCGAGCCTCCACTTTCCCTGAACCTCAGATTGCTCGGATTAGAGTTGCCAAAGTGCCACTCCTCCGGCGCCCAAGAACGGCAGAGACCCAGGCCCGGATAATGAGCAGCTGCCCGCATGTGTCTTTGAGATCGATCAGAATAAGCGCCCCCCCTAAAGACATGGGCACGGGGCCATCCAAAGAGGCGGTAACTCGAGAAGCATCTCAGAATCCCTGACCAGCACGCCCTGCTTTTGGTCGATGGGCGTTATAACACAGTGGACTCTGGCAGGTAACTTGAGGTATGGGTGGTATGCCCACTGCGTGCCGTTAGCCATTTTCCTCTTCAGCATGTTGCTCCTCACTTGAAATGCAGCTACGCCCAGGATCTTGGCCAGCAGCTATGAATGGGACAATGAGGAATTCCTAAAACATGGAGCACCCTTCATAGTATAGCAGATACGGAACGGACTGCATGTGAATATCCGCTGCTGGCCTTCAAACCGAGTAGTCCCATATTCAGCGTCGTGGACAAACTCCTGTACGCTGCCCTCTACTTTTGATCGAGTGACTAACAGCCGAGTAGCTTTGGGTACATCATCATGGTTTTGTAAATACTGCACACCTCCAGAATGCGTACTCGCTATCCCGGCCGCCAGGATGCCGACCCAGCGCCTCTGGCCCAGCCGCTCAGCTTCCCCTTCCCGACAATCGTCGCCTGGAACCGCCTCGTGAAGAGCGCCCTGACGGAAAGAGTCTGCACCTAGAATTCCACAGACGTTATTAAGCACGACATTTGTACCGAGACGGTCACCCTTATCGATCGGTGCACCTTGAGGCCGTTGGAAACACCATCATTTCCTTCACAAACGAGCCTGTCGAAAGTGGCGGACGCTTCGAAGCGTGACGCCTCTTATCAGACGCGGGCAAGGCCGGCGGCTCGTTACTTCTGGGTCAGATCCCCCATCCAGAACGCTAGGTAACTATATCCAAAAGAACCTTGTCTTGGCTTCTGACGTGCAGCTGGTGAACGGGTTGGCGGGCATCAGATTCAACAAGCCACATACGACAACGACAGAGTGCCATCAGCTGAAGAATAGTTTGGTGCACTCGGCAGTGCACCTCGAAAAGGCCTGCTTCGCCCGTGTCCGGCTCCATAGCACGCATGGGTGCCTCATGGCGCAGTTCCCGTAGTAGATGCCGAAAAAAAAGAGAACCGACGCGTACGGCGCCTCATTGCAGAATCGGGTGCTGTATCACCGACATCGCCAACGCCATCCGCATGCAGACGGGGTATAGGTTCGTAATGGGCATCAAGATCAACAGCGTCAAGTTCCAGGAGTCTGGTTTCACGATCGAGGCCGCTGAGCTTTGCCAGCTGCTCAAGCAGCACAAGTGTAACTTCTTCGAGCTCGGAGGGGACATGTACGATCAGACGGCATGGCATCACCGCAGTGGAAGTACAAAGGCCCGCGAGGCAGTCTTCCTCGAGTTCGCAGAGAAGATTGCGCCGCACCTAAGCGGGACCAGGACCTTTGTCACAGGCGGTGTTCGCTCAGTCAGTGCCATGTTCCACCTTGGACAGGCCAGACTCGAGGGTGTCGGTATCGGACGGCCTGCTTGCTTGGCCTTGGAACTGCGCTGGCGGGGGCACGGACCCGACAGATGGGCTGCAACGAGGAGTAATTGGATCTTTCTCACCAGAGGTCGGCGGATGACCTATTGAAGGATGTGGCTGCGTAGACAGCCCAAGTTAGCTGAGAGCAATGGACGGCTGTATGGGTTCGTAAAGGCCAAGGGAGCGCCCGTTGGCCACGAGTATATGCGCCTGCACGTGGCAATCCATTGGTATTTGTGAGCCTCGTTTTAGTGAATACGCTTGCAAGACACCGGACCTGAAACTTGTGTATCCGCGGAACACGTGCTGTTCGACATACCCGAGCCGCCTGGGACTTTGTAGTTAAAAGGGGCCAACGTGGGTAGCAAAAGTATACGTACGCAGCATCAGGGAATGATGTATGCTGGATATGTGTTGCTTCTGTCGATGGGCAATCCGAGGTCGGCCGGCAAAGTCCACCCTGACAAAGGGGCTGCCTGCGGAAGAATCAGGCCCTTAGGTTCCACTTCCCTAGAAGAGATGGAGAATCCGACATCTCAAAATAGCAGAGACACAAGCCATCTCGATTTCGAGGTGTGGCAGTCGTTTCGATGGGCGATGGGAATGATGATACGTAGACGAAGAACATGGGGAGTAGACTGCGGGATCTACAAGCTGATGTGGCGTCCAGAACTGGGTCGGCTGCTTGGTTCACTAAACTTGGCAGAGCCCAAGCCCGCGCGTTATTGGAGGTGTTGCTTGTAGCCGAGCACTGGCAATTCTTGGGAAATCAGCAGGAATGGTACTTCAAAGTGACAGGCCTAGCATCGCGGGCCAAGGGTTTGCCAAAAACCGCAGTCGCCTTTCACCCGGCAAGCCAACTAGGAGCAAAAGCTTCTCTGCGCCAAACGCAGGTCAACTAACGACAAAGCATTTTCGGTTGACCAGAGCTTGCCGAGACCATAACGCTTCTCTGGAAATTGCTTCCATTCTTGGAGAGGTGACGGTGGTTCCGGTGCTGGTGCTGGTCTATTTGTCGGTCAGATGGTGGGAAAACAAGGTCTGGCCCGGTGGGCGGTGGCAGTGCGGTTGAAATGGTCGTGTTCAGCAAATTGCGGCGATCTGATCAGGCGGTGGACAAAAACGAGATGGCGTGGTCGTCAGCGTTGACCAGGTTGAATCGCGGCGGATTAAGGTTATCATTGCTCACTCCACGACTGCTGTCACACAGACCTTGTCGGCAGGGCTATGATGGCTCGTTGGCGGAAAGTCCGTCGACGTGCACGCCATAATATTCAGCCGACAAAGTACAGAGCATGCCGGTCGTCGGCGAGTGCGGTCAATGGCAGTGCCTATGTGACGTCATAAGGGTCATAGCCGTTATACTATGTAATATTAGTGCCGTTGAGGGAGCTGAAGACGATCTTATGCATCCACAAAGATGAAACGCGCAATGCCGCACATGGCTGGAGCCCCAGGCCAGCCTTGCTTATGGTATGGGGACTGCTGGGAAGCCGTTGATGAAAATCGACATGGGTGTGCCGGGCACACAATCTGGTGGAATTTGGCACTGTCGACAAGCCATTGGATCTGGTCGTGCTTAGTGTGGCGGCAGCTAGAGTAGTGTCTTGGAATATGTTCCCGCAGACACAAACGTGCTGGGCGGGGGAAGCAGAAAAGGAGGCGGGGCTAAGCCGGTTCCAGCGGCGTAAAGAAGCGCCGGTGCGGTCCAAAGGCGACGGACTGGAGATTGAGATTGGCTTTTGAGCTTGAAAGTACACGGGTTCTGGTCCGTGTTTCTGACGTGTTGACAACGCTGATCTCGAATGGTCGGACGATGGCTCGGAGGATTTTCGCTGAGTATCCATCGTGGGACTGGACTGATAGGACGAAAGGGGAGGGGGAAGGGGGAGGCAACCCAATTCTACCAATCAAACCCTGGAATTTCCATGTGCTCTCCGCCTCGACGTACCGACTCCCGCGGTTCCATACGATAACGTAGGTACACTACGGAGAGGTAGGACGGCACGACGGGCATCTCGAGTGGTGGTGGTGGTGCGTGTGCGGTGCTCCACGGTTGCCAAGTCGGGTCATGTTGGTCTGGGTGATGGTGGTGAATGGTGATGGTGGTCCGGGGGTTGTCGTCTTTTCGCCGAGAAAACTGGGGGCGATTTGCCGTAGGGTCCATTGATGGACTCTAGCAAAGTGGCCCTCTCATGAATGACAACCATTGACGGGAAATTAAGTCGCCATGGGCTATTGCCTACCTTAGCACTCACGCTTCGTGATGTGGTAAATGATTGACGGTCAGAGTGAAAAGGGGAAGTTGGGTACGAAGAATCGCGGAACGTATCGCAGCGGTACGTAGCTGTATGTATGTATGTAGTGTAGGTAGGTACTGCCTTCCTTCCCTTCCCTTTCTTTTCCTCTTTTCCTTCCCTACAGCGCATGGCCGCGTCGATCGATGTTTTGGGAAACAAAGAGTGAGCCCACCACATCACGTTCGCTGTTCCTGCAGTAGTTCGAGAATCCGAAACGGTTGTGCCTTCCAATGTTGTGTTTGGTTTGTGCAAGTCCCTCTTTCCCTTGTGCGACTGGTTGACAAAAGAGCGGGGCAGGGAAGGGGGCAACAGGGCAGACTAGCCAGACAATCTCACAAGGCGCTTGCCAAGCGAACGCCATCTCCCCCCCTATGTACGTACCTACTACTCCCATGTCTCTCTCGTCTTCCTCTCGAGTTCGTTCTCTCTCCTATTTCGGCGGAGAACCCTGTCCAATCTTGCTACCGTAGACTCTCGTTAAATCGAATAATCGCTAGTGAGCAAGCTAACGGTAAGGGCTATAGCGGCCGCTGTGATAGGTATAGCGTGCTGGCTGAAACAGAGATCAGATACGGTTAGTCACGTACGTCAGCAGGAAGTCAGGGTGCAAACCTGGCTGGCTGGGTACGTGGGTGGGTGGGTTGGTGGTTTGACCGCCTTCTACCTTAGGCTTAACGCAGTGGATACACGCTAACTATTATTGGCTAGCTCGCTTACTAGCGGTTATTCGATTTAACGAGAGTCTACGGTACCTCCCTCCGAGAGTCTCTCTCTCTCTCTCGCTCTCTCCTCTCTGGCATCCCGCTCTTCTCTCGTTGCATTGCATCTTCTCACGGGCATTGGGCCCCTTTGGAGTATGCAATGATCTTCCTTCACCTTCACGTTCCGAATGCGTGCGTTCCCACCGTTTGTCCGCTCTAACCTCCTCTCAGCTGCTATGTTACCACTCTCGCTCTATCTTGACTCATCTGTTCGACTAGTGTAGGTATCTATCTATCTTGCTCTCTACATCATCGCGACACGGCTAGCACGTCGGATTGTCTCGCTTTACCTCCAGCATTGTCTTCCTTGCCCCATCAACAACGTGGCTGCCTTCTCCCGCATTCCTCAGGCAAAACCTACTCTCAACCACGTCCAATCTCGACGCATCCATGCAGTACTGCCCTGGACGGATAGGAGAATGAGCGAAATTACGACGCCCTGGATCTGCGAGACCATCTCCATCAACCACCCAAGTAGCTAGTAGGTACGGCAGCACGAGCTTCGGCTTGCACGGTCCTACAGCTCGACCGTCAGTACCGCGTACAGAGTCTTACCGAACCACCCACATCTACTTGCCCAATCAGACAACCCATCAAATGCGCCACTTTTTCTTCTCTACTCGCCTTCAAACCTCCTTTGCTCCTTGGTTGATTGACTCGCACCCAACAACCTTGCGCACTTAGGTTACTTCCCAACCATCCTTCCATTCTTCCAGGACCAGAGGGAACGCAATGATTTCGCCAGACCAGTCAGCCTGGCAGACGCGAGATTGTCGATCCCGGCTACAGACAGCCAGCCTTTGCTATTATTGACGGTGCACAATGGCATATGATTATTTGCAAATATGTCCAGCTGGACAGTCAATAGCCGCCCGCCATGTACTACGTTGAATCACCCACCATTAGCGTCAGCAGACTCTAATCCAGCACGCGTAAGCGGGGTGTATCGCCACTTCTTTCCGTTAGTGCAAGTGGCAGCTCAAATGCGCGACATGATTGTGCTCGATCCGTTGATTACACCAACCGAGGGGGAAAGGAGGCGCTCCAGAGATGCAATGAAGCCGAATGCAGCCGCTGCACAAATCAGCAGCGACTATTGAGTAACGGCGCCTTATTCGATCGAGTTTCTTGCCCCCCCCCCAATAAGCGCTCGCTTCTCGTCTCTCCCCCCTTCACCACATGCGCATATACTGTACGTACAGTACAGTACTCGGGCGACACCGCAACCCCCAAGGCATAGCCCATCAAATAGAATGGCAACGTCGTTTCCTACACTAATGTCATGGCGCTCTAGTGCATGCAGAATGGGATCCAACCCACAGCCTGCAGCAGCCAGATGGCCGGGGCAAAGGCAGGGGTACCCTGCCCGGCCTGGCCTTTCCTTTGCGGGCCAAATTCGCCCAAGGGCCCTTTTTTGGTGCTGTCCAGCGGCCTCCACCGAACCCCTGGATTAGCGTTCATGGGGCTGGATGGGTAGCAGACGTTGTAATTTCCCATGCTGCTTCTTCGATCCATGTCGCTCACTCGTCCCATTCCCACTGTTGCTGGCGGGGATGGGAGACGGCGGTGGAGGAGACGGGAGGAGGAAGCTCGCTGGTAGCATGTCGCCGCCGGAAGAGGGCGCTGTTTGGATCCGGGACTCTCGTACTTGTCCAACATGGCTATTAATATGTGCCGCCCTCCCCTTTTGCTTCACTCGTCTTCTTTTCCTTCCCTCTCCAGCCAAACAAGCCTCACCAATCTCAAGCATCAGCTTTTGACTCAACTTTGACTTCGGTCGTCCACTCATTCAACACATTCTCTTAATCAACTCACACTCAACCCTTCACCCTCCCCCCACCCTTTTTTTCTTTCTTCAAACACCTTCAAGATGCGTTACGCTGCTGCTGCCCTTGCTGTCGCTGGTGCCGTCATGGCCCAGGACAACGACGTCTACTCTACCGTCTTCTCTACCAAGTTCTTCACCGTCACGTCGTGTGCCCCCGAGGTCACCAACTGCCCCGCCCGCAGCACCGTCGTCTCGTCTAGCGTCGAGCCCTGGACCACTTCCACCATCTACACCACCAAGGTCCATACCGTCACCTCGTGCGCTCCCACGGTCACCAACTGCCCGGCCCACTCGACCGTTGTCGTCACCGCCACCGAGGCCATTGGCACCACCATCTGCCCCGTCACCGCCACCGAGACCGGCGCCAAGCCCACCGCCACCGGCGTCGCCCCTCCTCCTCCCGCCGGCGGCAACGGCACCGTCCCCGCCGTCCCCATCCCCACCACCGCGACTGGCGTCAAGCCCGTCCCCGTTACCACTGGCGGCGTTGCTCCCATCGTCTCCCAGCCCGCCACCCTGGCCACCAGCGCCGCCTCCGAGTGCCCCGGATCCTACGTCAAGACCATCTCTACCAGCATCACCACCGTCATCCCCACCGTCATCTACGAGACCGTCCAGATCCCTTGCCCCACCCCCAGCGCGCCCTCTGCCTCTATCCCTGGTGTTCCCACCGGTGGCAACGGAACGTGAGTACCGCCCGATCCATTCTCAAGTGTCGAGACCGAGAAACCCAGATGACTAACTCCCTTCCAGCGCTGGTGTTCCTACTCCCTCTGCCCCCGTCACTGCCGGTGCCTCGGGCCTGACCGGCTCTGCCATCCTGGCCGCCGTCGCCGGTGTTGCCGCCTTCGCCTTGGCATAAATCTTTTCTCCTGGACAACGTTTTTGATGGCCAACCAAAGGTTATGGCAGTTTTACGATGAATCTAGCGGGTTTCTTGCTTGGGAGTCAAGTGGAAATGTAGAAAGAGCGCTCCTCTTTGTACATCTATCTTAACGGAATGGCAAATACCATTTGTACTTAATCTTCTAATTGTATTTGCGACATGTCTGGGCGTCTGGAGCAGCCCCCCTTGCGACCGAGGATATCGAGCGCGAGGGGATGGCTTTCCAGGGCCTGATGACCTGGCATTAACGAAGTGTTTGGTGAAATCTCATTCCGCGTGGCACATCCATTGTGACCTGCTGTCAGCCAACCCCGATAAGGCCGAGAAACAGTGCTTCCCGAATGATGTGGAGAGGAAGAGCACGGTTCCCCTCAAGTGAGGTGACATCCGCCGATGCAGCCATCTTCCCCGGACTTGCTATTCTTCGACTCTTTGGCGGGTTAGTTGTAATAGCATGGATCATCGCCCCGGACGACACCCCGAGGACCCCGAGGTCATTTCCCAACCGACCGATGAAACAAACAATTAAGATGAAATAAGCACCGCCCAATGGGTTCGGATGAGCATGCCGGCCTGAAGATCGCCTGGCCAAGATGTTCTGCCATCCTAGTTCTAGCGCCTTGGCGTGGGCGTCTGCGCACACTGAGAGGAGAAAGAGATAGAGAGGTGTGGGTACAACTGCCGGGGTCAACCTAGGGGAGGGGGAACCCTTCAAGGAGATCGCCATCAGGACGAACCTCGGCTCATGATTGGTCGCGATGGACAGCGCTTCAATATGGACGAAACGTTTCGTCCCGCGCCCGATGGGATGAACGGCATCACCGACCTTTCCGACGGACCTCTGCATAAGCTCAATGTCCTATTTTTGTCTTGTGCAAACGACGACGCCCAAACGCTTCGGATCGAAGGCACCACGAAGACGAAGACAACGCGAGCGCCGACGCTGGTGACGACGAGGACAAAGTACGTCGCCATGAACACACGTCAATGGGACTACATGGCTTTCTGATAACTCACGACTCACCTTTCCCACCTTTCCTCTCGGGCGCATCTCGAGACTCTGACTTTGGCGTGTGCACCTGTTCCCAGCCCATACATGCATTCCTCCATGCATCCCAAATATGGAAATCCGGGGACGGGCTCAAGGCTGGAGGGTCATGAACGGAACGGATGGCGAGTGACCGCTCGGCTGGTTCCGATGCCATCCGGCTCACGGCTCGAGTTGAGCGTCATATCGCGGACATCATAAGAGGATGTGCTGTTGGCGATCGACGCGCTTGCCCCACCTCTCGATGTTGCCTACATAGTACCTGTATGTCACGGGGCCCTGGATGCCGTGTCCCGCGGATCCGGCACTCGGAGACGCCGTCGTGGGTATATGATTGAACTTGTCAATCGGGTTTCATCTATTTTGCTCTGCTGTTTTCTTGCTGGTGTTCATGCTAGAAAGGCGACGGAAGAAGCGGTCGCGATGCGTGCTCCACCAGAGGACGGCTTCGTTGTTTTCCGAGCGGAAATCCCTCTCGAGCCTCGATATTCGGGTCCAAGTTTTCGGCTGGCTCCAGTGTCTAGGGGGGCATCTCCAATCTTCCTTTATACCTTTATTCGTGCCAGAACACGCGCATCGACTCGCCCGACCTATTCTCACGCATCAAGATATTGGCGTTGGCACAGAGTCTCGGTTTCGCCATGGTGTCACACACTCATTCTTTCTTGTCGTCGTCGTCGTCGCTTGAGCGCCGATTCGGGGAGGCGGGACGTGGATGCGGGCCAGTCGTCCGCTTTCCGTAGTCTTGAGACGCGAAGCTTCGCTATTCTGTCGCGGACGTCCAACTGTTCCGTTGCGCAACGCGCCATCTTTGTGGGTTAAGGCCCCCAAAGGAAGGAGTGATGTTGTACGACTGGGTTGCCCAGGCGCCGAGGCCGGCTCCCAACCCGGGCCCTCCGCTGCTCAGGAATGGGGCATAGACGGGCAGGAATGTGGCCTGCTATGACAAGTCTCGACGGCATGGTAAGCACGTGTGTGGAGCAGCCCAGGCACCGACTTTCTTTTGCGTACTGGGCGAGTTGGCACGTACCCAGCATGTTGCATTAAAGCCGGAGGAGACGAGTGGTGGTTAACAAGGGTTGCGTTTGAGATACATGTCGCCCCATCCTGCAGGGCTGCTGCATCTCATCTCATGCGGCAGCACGCCCCCCAACCCGTGCATTCCCAAGTCAATATAGGGCGGCGGACTAAAGATAGATAGCCTCACGTCGCTGTGGCAGTCGGGCCATTCACAGGCCCCGTGATGCGCACCTCTTCCGCCAGCGGGCCTGTCCCTCGTCTACCCCGTCGCGACAGCCCTACGAATAAGGGAGCGTCGGAAAAATAGCACAAGTCTGTCAAGACGAAAGAGGATTGGGAAGGCTTTGATACGTACCTTGTGTTTGCGTGGGTGCCTTCGGCAGCTGGCAAGGTCAGCTTCCCATTGCGTCCCCGGTTGCGAGTTTGGTAACACCTATTCCTCTGGCGTTCGTCCACGCCCTCGTTGAGCCAGTCCAGTCTGTACCAGCGTGTTTCAACTCTCGTTTTCGGGTTGTTTATGGGTTATTATAAGCCCCTCACGGGCCTTACAGGCGGAGTTTGCGATCGAGATACCTGTCTTGGTTGTCTGAACGGCATTCGAGGCAACAAACTTGGTCAACGGTGGCGAGGACGCAACAGGTTGGTGCCCTTTGGTGAGTGGGGCTCGCCGGCGGTTTCGTCTTTGATCGTGCATCTTTCTGGTCAAGGTGGAGTAGTCACTGCGGTCCGTTGTAGCCCTCGCCGGTACTGGTGCGGTCCTGCTCTACGTTGGCCCGGCGGCAACCGCAACGGGCGGGTGACGGGACGCGGGCAAGGGACGGCCCCACTTCGGGATCAAGTCGGTCGGTACCCGCTCTCCTGTACACCGTACTATCGGAGCTACCGAGGCGGTTTGCATCAACAAACGCTCGAGGCCTCAAAGGGGTTTGTTTGTCATTTACCGAACTTTTTAGAAACGAGTCGCAGACGCCAGTTTGGGCCCAGAGCTGGGCCAATGTTTTCTGGGTGGTCGATTGCCCAGGGTCAGTCCAACGCTTCATCCTTGGTCAATTTGCTTTGACCGACCTTGGGCAAGTGCGATATTTGGCCAAAAGCCCTGAAGCATCGGCTTCCCCCATGCCCGCTTGTGGGATTTGGCGTTCGGCGCTCATAGCTCGGGGCTGACGCCGACGCCGATGCCGACCCGCCGATCATCTCCCGCAAGCGAACGCGTGTTCCAAGCCCAAACGTGGTACCATCGAGAGGGTCATCGTGATAGGAGAGGGAGAGAAGAGGGTGCGGGCGCATTGGCGAGACGTATCTCAGTATCCTCGTCATCCTGCCATCCAGAGCTGCTGCTGCCCCATTCCGTCGATGACTCGTCGACTCCTTCTGCGGGCGTTGGTTTCCCCCGAGATCGTCGCCCAACAGACACCGTCAACACGGGAAACACCCCTGGGGGGGGGATAATGAAAACAAAAAGGTGGATTCGTCACCATCATTCCAACCGTTACTAGCCATCGGGGAAAGGTACAGAGGTTGTCATCCCGTCCCGCTTCGCATTCGGACCGCACGGGCCACATCCTTTTCCCTCTCTCCACCGACCGCCGACTGACGTGGGAAAGCCGGGCTGCGCTCCCGCATTCGCTTAGCAGCCAAGACGCCCTAACCACTCCAGGCTCAGACGATCGCATCCTTCTTCCCTCAACTCCCGTCACCCGCCCTATCAGATGTCGAGCATCTCGTCTTTTTTCTTTCTCCCTCTCTACCGAACCGCCCTATCGGATGGAGGGTGAAGAACGTGGCTGTCTAGTAACTGGTCCCAAGTCACCCCCCCCCCCCCCCCCCCTTGGGTAGAGACGAGTCATCTCTGCTATCCTCTCTGCTTCTTCTACCTTGCGCCAATCGCTCTGACAGCTCGCCTTGTGGGGCAGGCCGCGCTAACGTGGCATTCCCAAGAGAGCTTCTACCGTTTCCTGCCAAATGCGGGTGCGAGAAGGATGATGAGCCACCGCCTCCGCGAGAGCCTCTTCCCCCCCGGTCTGCGATTGACGCCCTAGTCAGGCGCAACACTGCGCGCCTCATACCCCTTCCTGCGTCCAGCTAGATGGGGTTGCGTGTTTTCACGAGCTTGCGTGGAGTCGTCCTCCATTTAAAATAAACCCTGAAAGGAAACCTCTAAGAGAATGCGAGCATTCCTGCTGCCTTGGTCGCTTGGCGGCGATGACAGCTTCCCATCTTCCTCCCCCCACCCCTCTTTGGGCTTAGTCGGCAGAACCACCGTAGCAGGACGTCAGCGCCAAAACGGAAGCCTTTTTTTTTTGTCTGACGCGCGCGGGTCGATATGCTTTCCTTTTGGCGCGTATGTACTCCGTACATGTATACATATATATATATATATATGTATATATATATATGCCGGCTGCTTTCCACGCTCCGGGTTTGTGAGTGGAAAGTTTGCTTTTCGGTTACAAACAGCAAGGACCCGAGCTTCCGGACAAACGTCCGTATTGTTTTGAGACATCTCGTCTCCTGTGGCACGCATACGCTTTTTTTGTTCATAACGGTATATAAGAAAACACCCTCTGTTTCTTCTGGGACGTCCTCCTCAACTTCGTCCCTTGCCCGCCTTCTCACCCCCTCCACGGAGCTCATCCTCTCTTTTTGCGCACGACGACGAAACCAAGACAAGACGCCCTCCCCCCCTTCCGCCTATCATGTCCGGCCCTTCGCCCCCTCTGCCGTCCAACCTCGTGGTCTTCGGCCCCGATGCGAACTGCACGCTCGACCTCTGCCCCCTCGAGTACAGCCTGTACCAGTACCGCCCGAACCTCGCCGTCAACATCCTCTTCCTCGCCCTCTTCGCCCTCGCCGCCGTCGTCCACATCGGTCTCGGCATCCGCTGGCGCACCTGGGGGTTCATGGCCTTCATGATCGCCGGCTGCTTCAGCGAGATCATCGGCTACGTCGGCCGCATCATCATGTACTACAACCCCTTCCAGTTCGCCGGATTCATGCTCCAGATCATTTTCATCACCTGCGGGCCGGTATATTACACCGCTGCCATATACGTGACCATAGGCAGGGCGTAAGTTTTTCTCCATTTTCCTCTCTCCCTCCCTCTCTCCCTCTCTCTTTCTCTTTTTTTTTTATTCTTTCTTTTTCCCTTGTTGGCTTTCTTTTCTTTTCTCATGTGAAACCCCTCGTTTTTTCCTTGACCGCTGCTTTGTTCTTCCCCTCCCTTGCTCGTGCGGCTTGTTGTGTATATATGTATATGTATAATAGCTCGCATCGCTCCCCCCCCACGACATGTCATCATCTTGCATCATTGCGACCTTCCCGCAAGAAAAAGAAAAGAAAAGGAAAATGAAGCGTGACGAAACCCCCGCTGACTCAAGCCCCCCTTGCTCGCGGCAAACAGCATCGACTCATTCGCGCCGGAGCTCTCCCGCATCCCCACCAAAGTCATGTACTGGCTCTTCATCTCCTGCGACGTCTTCTGCCTCGTCCTCCAGGCCGCCGGCGGCGCGCTGAGCACGACCTCGGCCGGCAGCTCCGACGTGGGCGTCGACCTCGCCATGGCCGGCCTGGTGCTCCAGGTCATCGTGCTGGTGGCCTTCTGCGCCCTCTTCGCCGACTACATGGCCCGCTACACGCGTTCCGCCGCCGCCCGCCCGCTCACGCGTCGCGACAAGCTCTTCTTCGGCTTCCTCGCGCTGGCGATCGTGCTGATCCTCGCCCGCTGTGCCTACCGCGTCGATGAGCTCAGCGACGGCTACAATCAGTCGGAGAAGCTCACGAACGAGGGCCTGTTCATCGGCCTCGAGGGAGTGTAAGCGGACCCCCCCCCCCCCTTCCCTCCCCCGGCTTTCTTTTTCATTCAGGTATCGTTTTAACTGACATCATGTTCCCAGTCTCATCATCTGCGCCGTGTTTGCGCTGTGCATCGGTCACCCCGGAATGGTCTTTGGCAGGAGAAAGGTCAGCGATGGCGTGCGCAAGGGGTCCAGTGCCGAAAGTGGCATGGAGAGCGGCACATCGCAGATGGAGCAAAAGTGAAGGAGATGCCGGTTCTCGCTTCCGTGCGGCTTGCACTGCATGGAGCCTGGTTTCGATGCCGAGCGGTGTGCTTGCGTGTTTCTCGAATTCGTGTAAAGCGTGTCTGTCCCCAATGCCCAGGGGCCTGTTTCAAGTATTACATTAGATGTGGTTTCTAGCGCTTTACCCTCAGCGCTTGGGTATGTCAAGCAGAGTAATTGATGGTACTGTCAAGTCGCGTGAATTGGCATCTCGCTTTGCGTGACTGTTTGGCGGTCGCATTTCTTGGATAGGGACTGAGCAATATATCCAGATCTGGAAACACGCAATTGCTGTTTCATACTTGTAGCCCACTAGAAGGCTAACCACAAGTCACTGGAAGACATGCTACTGCAGGACCCGTGGTAAAAAGCCCAGTGTGAGATGCGAGTATCGGCATTCATCGAGCAAGAACAGATGACAAAACGCAACGTGAGCATGGAGCGAGCTCGCAGCATACTGGTCGAAACCTGGTTCTGCTCACGGAAGAACGGTGAAAGGCATCGCTCGACTGGGCTTGTATCTGATCGCTCCGGACCCTTTCGGAAAGGCAGGCCGCAATCAGGACTGTCCGGCAGGCCCGGCCTCTCGCCACACCCGCGCCGTCGTCCGTCCGTACGGTTTCCGAGTGTGCGGAACGGGCCACCGTCCTCGTCAGCCCGCGAAGCAGAGATTCCAGAACTCGGGTGTGGGGAATGTCTCGGCCGGAGGGGGTGCTTCTCGCTGAGGTTTCCAAAAAAAAAGGTCGGCGGGTCCAGGGTTTTCTCACCATGGCCTCGATGCTCTCTGCCCGAGAGTGGTTGGGGGAGGCGAAAGGAACCCCAGACAACCCATGTTGGATTGTTCGGTCACTGTGTGTATGTGTGTGTGCTGGGTGGGTGGGTGGGTTTGGGTCTTTAGAGGTGGCCAAAGGCCGCAGATCCAGCGGCCGGCCGGCCCGGGACCCGTCCGTGTCCGGGATCGGCACGTTGCCCCACCTCCACTCACTGTCGGCCCCGCTCCGTTCGGATGCCTCTTAACAGCGTCCGTCCGCTGCAGAACCGGCCCATCCGCCCACTTCACGACAAATTAGTCCCGTCAATGCAGCCTCTGCCATCCGTAGACCGAGCCCAAACATCACAAAAACCCAACCCACGCATAAAAAGAAAACGTGTATTCGTCGTGCCCAGAAAGTCAGATAGATTACCACCGCTTTTTTTTCTTCGTGGCTTCGCCAGGTCGTCAGCTCTAGCGCCTAAGCTCCTTATAACGCCATTCCTCATGCTGCATTCGTGCCCCTCCCAACACAGGATGGCAAACGACAGCCTAGCTGGTGTAGCTGGTGATGATTTAAATCACAAGACATGCTATACCAACAGTCACTTCGAACAAAAGAGACACTCGATTCCCTCCCACCTCTTTCCTTCCTTTTCAGGATGATATAAGATTCGGTGCGATCTTGCGGGGATGTCTTCCAATCCAACCGAGATCATGACCCAACCCTTCACTGGTATAATGCTCTCGAGCCGTATGATATTGCGACACGATGTTGAAGCGAAATCCCAGCAAGGTACTGCAGGTGACAACAGGGCATCGCGTTGCGTTGGATGCCATGCAATGCAAAATGAAAACGCCCCCCCACATGGACCCTTCAACTCGACCTCTCTCCAACACGTCATGAGGAAGAGAAAGAAGAAGACGCCCTTGCCAGACTAAGAAGACTGCTCGCGACGCCGCCACAGACGACACTTGTTGGGCCGTCCTCGTCCTCGTCCTCGTCCTCGGTGTCTCCCGTCTCAGCCGTCACCAGACACGGCTCCGCCGTATTTTCGGCAATGGCCGGTTCCGTCGTGTTCTTGACGTCGGCCACGGGTTCCGGCTCGTTCTCGCGTTGCTTAGTGCTTGTCTCCTCGGTGTCCTTCTCCGGAGGCCCGTCACGGCTGGAGGGTGGCTGCACCGTGACTCTCGGCAATGCCCCCTCACGAGGGGTCTCCAGCTGCTGTCCCGGGCGCGGCTTCACCTCTAGCCTGTCGAGGGGCACATTTTCCTGCCCCGTCTGGAGCTTGTAGTTTGCGAGGCCGAGCTTCAATCGCAGGATTCGGGCTTTCTGTACGCCGCACAGCCTTTGTCAGTATTTGATACCTAATCATGCGCTGGCCGCCAATACGGGATGCCGTACCTGTCGCGCCTCCTCGCGGGTCAACAACCTCCTCGGCCTTGCCGGGGGCTGTGCCCTGGCGGTCTGCTCTGCGTCGGGCTCGGTGAGCATGGTCGTGTTCTCCTGCGACGTGTCCATGGCCGAGTTATCAAACACAGACGAAGTGTCGGGCGACGCGGAACGATTCCGTAGCATCTGTTGCTCCTCGCGGGGTTGCACCTTCTCGAGCTGTCGTTGCTCACGTGGTTCGTCGTGCAGTTTCTGTTCCACGAGTTGGTCCTGTTGCTCGCCCTGATCCTGCCATGGAGACACACGCATTAGGTTCCTGTCGCCGAGACCATACCGAAAGCGCTCCATCAGTAGAGCACCACTCACCTCCTTGGTGTCGGGATCCATGCCCATCTCCGTTTGTGCGGGCGCGGCGGGAGTTGGTGTGGATGCAGACGTATGCGTGGACGTGGACGCGATCGTGTCCTCTGATGCAGCCGCTGGTGTAGCAGGGGTGGGAGTAACAGCAGAGACATGCGGCGGCACGAGTGCAGAGGCATTGGCAATTGCAGAGGCAGACACAGAGGATGCGGCGGCGGCGGGCTCCTGGCACTGCTTCTTCTTCGCGACGGCGTTCTCGTCGAAGATGACGGAGGCGAGAGGCCGCTTGAGACCCAATGGCGTCTTGATGGGACTCTTGCGAGGCGACCCGGGCACCTTGCTGTGCTTGTGCATCTTGGTGGGCGACATCGCGTTCACGTTCGCGTCCAAGGGCGCGAGGGCGCGTCTCTTGGTCGGTGATGAGGGGTCCATGGTGTGCGTGTGGTCGTGTCGGGAATTGGACGCGCTTTTGCCTGTTCAGGGACTGAAGGATGTACAAAGCCAGCGACGAGGAGGATGAGCGGAACGGGGAGTCAAAGTCCTTGTGAAAAGTGTTGGAGTGGAGGAGGAGGAGAAAGGTAATGGAATGAAGATGAGAGGGGATGAGGGTTGGGGGGGGAGAGAGAGAGAGAGAGAGAGAGAGAGAGAGAGCTGCACAGATGCAAAAGAGCTATTCCCACACAATTACCCGATTTACAAGCTTGGGCGACTTTAGGCGTGGATTTCGCGGTTCGGAGGGGGCGGAACCGGGGGGACACCGTTTAAACGAATGGCGGGTTTGAGTGGCCGCGTGCAGCTGTAGCAACTTGAAATCCAGTCCAGAAGGAAGCTCTGTGCTTAAAACAAACAAACAAGTGGCAATCGGATATTAAACCACTCTGCCTTCTGTGTGCCGTGTTTGACGTTGCGAGGGCCGTGTGTATTCTCCAACTCTAAGGCTTAGAGAGGAAGAGAAAGAGAGGAAGAGAAAAGCAGGCAGGCGATGCAAACAAGATGCAATTCGTCCGACACAAGAAATATCTCTTCAGGGGAAAAGGGGAAAGGACGGGATAGGTAGACAGAGACACCGACGTGTTGTTGATAATGAAATGTTCCAGGCAAAACGCGTACTAGGCCGGCGAGAAATGCTTAGGGACCCCCCCCTTAAGGTACCTACTAAGACACCTGTAGGCTGTGTGTGTGTGTGTGTGTGTGTGTGTGTGTGTGTGTGTGCCTGTTGCGGGACGGCCCCTTCCTATAGGTACCTTGGGCTACTCGCCCAACGGCCACGGTTGACGAGCAGCGTGTTACGTACTGAAGAACGACCGCGTAGTGCATTTGTCCACCGCAGGGAAATGGCTGTAACTCTGAGGCACTCGCTGTCTTGCGCCTCCCCCCCCCTTTCCACCCAACGTAGTTCGGTACAGGTACTATGCCGTCTGTTAGTTATCTCAGTCACGTATGTATTGTGCAGATATTGCAAGTAACTGACACCAACTTGACACCAAAAACCACCATCAACTTTCTCTAATCGCGGCTCGGTTCCTGTACCCCCCCTCCTTGGTTTGGTGGCTGGCAGTTTTTTTTTTTTTTTTTTGGTCGCGTACCCCTGTTCATGCAACTACTACTTACAGTGTGTATATGTGGCAGCTAAGACGCTACAGGGGGCCAAGACCCAACGCCTACTAGTAGGAGCCAGAACGCGGCTGACATAACTTGACCCATCCTTTAACCCCCTGTAAAGTCCCCACAGGCGCGTCCGTCATTCCAGGGGTCCGCTAGCCATTGCAGATCGCATCCGGCCTAGCGTTGAAGAAAGTGAAATGCACGTCCGGGGGGTGGATGCATGGCCACGGTCCACGCCGCTGGGATCACACCTTGGACGTGACAAGCTCCACGTCCACCATCTGCCATCTTACCTTATCCCGTCCCATCACTCTAGACGTCTGCAGACAACAGCCGCCTCTACCAATACACAGACAGCCCTTACACAATCCTCTCCCTTTCTCTGTCCAAATAACAATCCAGTCTCACTTCATAGGGGGGACAAAATCCTTGTGAACTTGGGTATCATTCCTCTCGCCCTTGCAAGAGTCGCGCCGACGCTCCCATCGTCGCCAAGGAACCTAACTAAAAAGACGTCCATGCCGCCAGACGAACAGATAGCCCGTGAATGAATGTCTCTCCCACCAAAATACCAAAACGTGATACCGAAACTAGAAAGAAATGACTCGTCAAGGGGTGGGGGGGATAAGAAAAGAAACAGATGTCAAGTGCTGAGCCAGATGCCCTCCAAGCGGACTTTTCACAACTCGTCCAGCTCTCCTCAAGTATAAAAGGAAAAGGGGGAAAAGAAAATCAAGATACAAAAGTCGCTCTCAAAAAAAAAAAAAAAAAAACCACCAAAAAAAAAAAACACCAATACGGAGGGTTGCCCATGCTCTTCCAGTTTGGATCCTCCCCAAGGAACGCCAACCCCCCCTGCTTTTCCTCATGTGATGGCGCCTACCCACCCGCCCGCTGAGCCGGCCGGTCATTATTCATGGAAATCTCCGGGGTATCCAAACATGAATCGCCCACGTCTGCCGTCCACTTCCCGCGCCTTGTTTTGTCTCCCATTCACCCTCTCTTTGCTCCTCTCACGTCGACGATGAAACGTCGAACGAGTACATACTGTTGTCGAACTGGAACGGTTTGTTGAAGTCGTTGCTTACTTCGTCCCAGTTGGGAAACTGCTCCATCGGCATCGCCTCCTCAAGCATCAGGCCCTCAATCTCGGCCCCGCCGTCTTGGAGCCCGTCGAGACCGTCCATGTTGATGCTGTTCATGTCGAGGAGCAGATCCATGTCGATAGGCTGCCAGTTGAGGTCGATGTCCAGATGAACACCTTCCGAAATGTCGCTGTTGGGCTCCGACGACCCGCTGTCCTTGCTCGACTCCGGTGTGTCGTTTGGCGTCAGGGACCGGTAGACGCTCATGTCGCTGATGACGCCGTTGGCGCCGAATTCGAACTTGCCCAAATTGTTGAACAGGCTTTGAGGGTCGATTGTCGTCGCCCAGCCATCCATCGGCGCTGCCGGTGCAGCCATCTCCGCCTGCTTGTTCTCCGTCTTTGGCGTGCTTTCCATCTTGCCCTCTGCGGGCTTGTTGTCCTGCACCTTGCCTCCCATCTTGCTGCCACTGCGCTGCATCGAAGCATCGCGAGACATGGGCGTCGCGCCAATGTTGCTTGCTGGCGTCTGTCCCTGCCTTGAAAGGCTCTGCCCCATTGGCTGCGCCGTCTGGGGCTCCATCTTGACCTGACCGTTCGCGTCCAGACCCAGAGACTGGGCAAGGCTTTCCTGCATGTACTTCATCGGGTCTTCCGCGGGCTTGACGTGCTCCTCTTGAATGTGCGCCTGGCGCGCCTGGTCCGAAGCGAACCCCGTGATCGCCATCTCGCAGTCTGCCTCTGGACATAAGAACATGGGCTTCGGCGGCGCCTTGGGTTCCGGCGCAGGCTGTCTCTTGAGCTCCGGCGATCCCGACTTGCTGATCTGAGGCGAAGGGGTGGCCTGGTTCGGTTGCTGCGGCGGAGTCGGCTGCGTGCCGGTCTTGGCCTTTTTCCGCGCCGGGAGCTGTAGGTTCTCCTTGGTGACCTTAGGCTTGGAGAAGTGGATGGGTTCGCCGTGCGGGGAGCTTGCGCCAAAGGGGAAGGGGGGCTGGCTCGTTGTCGGTGCCGCCGGGGGGCCGCTTTTGCTGTTGGGCCGGCTATGTATCTTGTTGTTCATGTTCTGTGTCTGCTTCTCCAAGTTGGCCATGTTGGCCATGCTCAGAGGAAGTGGCTGGCCGCCTTGGCCACCACCAGCCCCGGCTTGGTTGGGTGCTGCGGGCTGGCCTTGCTGAGGCGGTATGGCGGCCTTCTTGCCGAGGTTGGCGCAATCGCGCGCCATACTCTCAAGCAGCCGACGGACCTCGTCAATCTGAGCAGGCCTCACACTGAAAACGGGCTTGGGGTTAGTCATGACTTCACCATCAGTGAATTGTCTAATCATCCGCAGACGCTGTCAAAACGTTAGTGGGGAGCCTAGGCCTCGGGTTAACGCGTATACTCACAGCTCGGAAGTAGCTCTTGGCGCGCGCATCGTCACGAGTCGCGGCGTACCACCGGCCAAGGGCCTTTCCAATCTTGCCCATATCCACCACAATCTTCATTAGCTTGGCGCATGTCTCTTGGCGCTGCTCCGGCGTCATGGGAATGTCGGGCATGTGCTCCGTCATCATCAACCTCTGCTCTTCCTGGCCTATCCGTCTGAGCTTATCAAAATCGCTCTCAGTCGGTGCGATACCCGCATTCGCCGCTAGCATGGCCTGATGGCGGCTCTTCATGGCTTCGTACTTGGCCTTCTGCTCGGGTGTCATACTCGCAATCTGCTCAGGGGTAAGGTTCGGGATGGGCCGCATCTGCCCGGGAACAGCCGCAGGCCTCTGAGGCTGTTGTGTAGCTGTCTGAGGGACATCGGCGGGCTCATCGGTGCTGGGGCGCTTGAGGTTCTTCTGCTGAGTTGCCGGCGAGGGGTTAGGCGGTTGCTGTTGGCTGTTGTTCGGGGCGGGGCGCTGGTTGTTCTTCGCCGCCGCAGCGTTGGCGACGGCCTTTGGGTCAGGGGTCGCGCTCTGTTGCTTCGGCGGGGCTGGCTGTACCGCTTGGACAGGCGTAGGAGTGACGTTTGCCGGTTGGGCAACCTGCTGTGGCATTTGAGGAGGTTGAGACGTGGGCATAGGGACGTTCTGGACCCCAGGCCCTGCGTTACCCTGCGCTTGGGCTTGGCGCATGGCTATTTCTTTCTGCATGGCTGCGGTCATCTGCCGTTGCTTGATCTGAATAATGAATTGCCTCAGCTGGTCATCCGTGAGACTTGCAATCTTGGGGTTCGCTTTGCGGGCGTTCATGATGTCGGTTGGCGTCACTTGAATCATGTGAGCCTGGATAGAAGACATGTTTGGAGGCATGCCTGGCTGGTTAGGCTGCTGCTGATTCGGGACGCCGTTGCCCGCCTGCATGACGCTCTGCTGCAGCTGCGACTGATGCGGCTGTTGTGTTTGCTGCGGCATATGCTGTTGTGGCTGCTGTCCTTGTTGAGGTTGCTGGGGCTGTTGTTGCTGCTGTTGTTGTTGTGACAGTTGCTGCTGCTGCTGCTGCTGCCCCGCCGCCGCCGCCGCTTGCTGCTCCCGGTTACGCTTCTCCATTTGCCTTTGCATGTATGTAGCGAACTGCGACCTCTGGATCCTCTCGAGGTGCTGTTGTAGCTGGGGCTGGACGGGATTCTGTGCAAGCCATTGCCTGAGGTCCTTCCACTTACGCACCTCTGGAGGAGCGTGGAGTTGGTTTCCTAATTGCGCGAGAACTGGCGGTGGGAGATCCATGCTGTCCATCATGACCTGGTGCGCAGGCGCCACAGGCGTACCCTGATTCCTCAACCTAGCCAGCATCTGCTGCTGCTGAGCAATGACTTGCTGCTGGTTGTTGGGGGCTCCCGGCTGCGCCTGTTGCGGCATCATACCGTTTGGCATAAACTGGTTGCCGTTGGGCATGTTGAACTGGCCCATCTGCCCGGGCCTGCCCTGCATCTGACCTGGAGTGGTTCCAGCCTGTGCCATGGCGTTCATTTGCATCTTGCGCTGCTGCTCCTGCCACTTGGTCATGACCTCGTGGAGCTTGTCGGGTGGCAGCCCGTGGACCGCCTGCCTTTGTTCCGGGTTCATGCTCGCCATCATGTTGTGGAAAACAGGGTTGTTGTTAAGGTTCATGTTGCCACCAGCGCCCATCGGCCTCTGGTTCCCCTGATTGAACCGAGGGTCGAGGGTACCGGCGAAGGGGCCGTTGGCCTGCGCTCCTCCCTGGCCTTCCATGGGGTTCATGGCACTTGGGGGGCGGCGCATGGGAGTGTTCAGGGTGTTCATACCCGGACTTTGGGAAGGGGGGGCGCCGCCAAGGCCGTTTGGTTGACCCTGTAATTGCCTAGCCTGCTGCTGTGCTCGCATCTGTGCCGCTTGTTGTGATTGTTGCTGTTCCATCTTCAACTGTTGCGCCTGCTGCATGCTCAGCTGCTGTTGGGCTTGAGTGGGCCGAGGCGTCTGGTTTTGCCCGGCCTGGTTGGGCATCCCTTGACCTTGCGCACCGACGATGGGTTGCGGAGTAGCGTTGCGAGCCGGGCCGTTGCTGGCGGGAACAACCATTTGGCCCTGCTCTTGAGCAAGGATGCCGGCCTTTTGCTGGTTCATGATGCTCTCCATGGTGTTGAACTGGCCAAAGTCGCCATTGGCAGATTGCATGCCTGCGGCGTTCATCAGGGCAGGATTCATCTGTCCTCTGCCGGCTTGCATGAGCGCCTGGGCTTGAGCCTGGTTCATGTTGGGGGGGATGCCCCCCTGCTGCTGTTGTTGTTGCTGCTGCTGCTGCCGCTGTCTCGCCAAGGCCGCGTTCTTCGAGAGACCTTGGAAGGCCTGGTGTTGGAACCAAATAAGGACCGGATCCTTCCCTTGCGCGGTATACTCCTGCGCCCTCTGAGCAAACCGGGTCTGCACAATGTTGCGGTAGTGGTTCTTCTGGGGCTCGGGGCACGCAGAAGCCATCTTGTGGGCAAGCTCCAAGACCTTTTGCTGGTCGTGCGGCGTGAGGCTCGACGCGTCGGCCGGCATACCGTTTGGGGGCCTGACCTGTCCACCGGGCATCTGGAACATTTGCTGGTTAGGCCCGATCGGCTGACCACCCTGGTTGCCCATGTTGACGCCCATCTGGCCCTGTTGGGGGATTTGAGACGCTTGCATCTGGTGTTGCAGGTGCTGGAACCCTTGCTGTTGGTTCTGGCCCATCCCCCGGCCCATCTGGTTCTGCATAGCAGCATTCTGGTTCATCATCAGCTGCTGTTGAGCCTGAGCGGCTGCCTGCACTTGGAGGTTGTTGGTGAGGTTCTGCTCGTTCGCTTGTCGCCGTCTGTAAAATTCGTTCGTTTTGTTGCTCATCTGCGCCTCGTACGAAGTCTGTGTCTACCGTTAGCTTCCTGCCTGCAACATACAAGAGTGGCCCGGCTGGAAAGCTTACCTTGTCTTGCGACTTGTTAAATGCGTCGCGCTCAAAGTTGACGCCCACTTCCGCCGCCTTCATGAAATCAATGTTGGTTACGGCAAGGCCGATATTGGTGATCCTAAGGGGAAAAAGTCAGCCACGGCGAGCACATGTAAGGCAGAAAAAGGGTTGAAAGCATACAAGTTGTGGCACTTGATCATGCGTTCCTGGATGGCAACGCCGGCCTGCCAGCCTGTATGCGGCTGCTGCTGGTTAAGCATGGTCTGGTAGAGAAACTGGTTCAACTGAACCTGGGAGGGCCTGGGGCGCGGTTGCTGCTGCTGCTGCATCATCCCCGCCGCGCCCGCCATGTGCTGCATATTTGCGGCCATGGCCGCTTTCCACAGGGTTTACACAAGTCCCCTAGCAACACGTCTTCCTAAGCCGATAGCTTTGATCGAGAATGGACCGGAGACCGTCAGGCGGCTGCTGAGATGAGGGCCGCTGTTGAGCGAAAAGTGCGTGAGGATCTGGGGTGCGTTCGCTCGCTCGGTGATCAGGTCTGGGGAGGATCAATAAAAGTCGCCGAGGGGGTGTTGAGAAGTTCAACACTGAGGCACGAGCCGTTGACTATCTGCAGGATGCCTAGTAACTTGCGACACGAAGCATCAAAGAAGTATTTTGGAAGTCTCAGGCGGGTAGAGGCTCGCTGTGGGGTATGGTGATTGAGGCCACGATATCCGTGGATATTCCTTTTTGTCCGGAGGGGGCGGACAGATGGTTGTGGTTGGGCGGTGGTGGTGAAGGGGAGGATGGTGAGGCGAGGCGAGGCAGGTGGTTCGACGGTCTCGTCTCGTGTTTTTCGTCGCCGGGATTGCGTGGAGTCGATCAAGGGAACCGAGCGCCTGTGTAGTAGCAAGTACACGGAGCCTGGTCTTTGTCGCTGCAGCACACCAAGTTGGCGAGGGCGAAATGGAGAGGACGACTCGAAAGAGAGCAGGAAAGAAGATGGTGGAAAGCCACGGCGCGAGGTGGCTGTGGATGGTGGGTTGTTATGGGATTTGGAAGTATTCGTCCAGGAGCGGCGGAAATTCCAGAGAGTGGAGGGTGGGCGTGGACAGCCGCAGGTCGAGACAAAGCAAGCCGGGGGGGGGGGGGGGGGGGGGCTTTTGAAATTGGGACGATGCTACGCGTACGGAATCGTTGCTGTGCAATTTGTCGCTATGTAGTCGTCGCCAAAACGTGGTATGGCGGACGGTCGACTCGGACGACTCTCCAAGGAAAAAGATGCGCGCGTGGGGGGGGGGGAGGGGACACGACGAGAAAAGGTGTCGTGAAGTGTGGTGTTGGTGAAGGAAGAGGAAAAGAGGCGGAAGAGGTGGTGGTGAGTGAGGTAAGGTAGGTGAAGTAGGCAATGGGCGTGTGAGTGCGTGCGTGTGTGAGGGAGGGTGCAGTGAGCAATGGGTTACGGCAGCAGACGGGATCGTTGGGCGTGGTGGAGCCTCTAGAGATGGGCTTTGCTCGATCAGTGCCAGTTGATTTAGGTTCTGGTGGGCTCAGGATTGACGCTATTTAAGCGTGGAGCCTATTTTTGCCTGTGGTCGACTGGGGTGGCTGAAACGAGAGATGAGAGAAGTCGAAGGGAGAGAGAGAGAGAGAGAGAGAGAGAGATGCAGAGACGCGGTGGTCAGGGTGCAGTGTAGTTGAATATTATTACCACGTCTTCTCTATCTGAAGTTATTCGGTGCGAAGAAGAGGAGGGAAGGTCGGCGTCGGCCACATACCCAGAACACGCGACCGGGTGAGTGAGGAGAGAAAGTGAGATGGTTGTCGTGCAGAGAGGGAGAGGGAGGGAGGACGAGGGTAAGGGCGGAGGTTGCAAGAGCAAGGCAGGGTAAGGTGCCTAGGTAGGTAGCAGATACCTAGGTCAACCAGGTAGGGCCAGGAAAGAAAGAGGGTGCGCGCGCAGCAATGAGATGGTGTGGAGGTAGTGGATGTGAGTGAGACTGTGTGGATGACGAGACGAGGAACTGAGCGGAAGAGACGACTGAGATTATATTACGGAGTATCGTTTTATTTAACACTGGTACGAATGCACTTCACTGTAGACGAATATATCTTGACTACATAGTATGGGATGCCTAGAACCGGCTAGACTACCAAGCTTCAGAAATATAAAAGATGCGACAAACTACGAGTCCAGTTCCTTACTTGAAGACCGCGACAAGACGGATCGGAGGCGTCGACAAGATCGATGCTAATACGATCCCGAGGACCTGCGAGTTAAAAGTAAAAATAAAAAACTTGGAGAGCTTTCCTGACTATGGGTGCAAGGGCAGCACACCCACTCTCTTCGCAATCATGTTAAATATATGTATCGTGTATTTGGTATGTTTTTTGAGATATCGTTCTTGGGACTGGGCGAGAGTGAGAGAGAGAGAGAGAGAGAAGAGAGGATGGCACGATGGAGATGCACGGTGGAGAAAGAGAGAGGAGGGAGAGGGCGTAGAAAGGGGAAAAAAAAAAGAGGTGGGCAAGAGGACACGGCGGACGGGGATTGGATGAGAAAGACGAAAGAGAGCGGGGTGTGGATCTAGAGAAAGTGGGAGGCAGCTGTGGAAGGAGCCGGACAGACGAAAGGGCAAGAAGCATGGGGCTAGTACCTAGGCATCGACATGGACTGCAAAGCAAGGTGCAAAAGGTACTTCATACCCACCCTACCTTACCTAGTAGTACATGGTACAGTGTACCTTTGAGTCTGGGCGAAATGGAGTGTAATGACAACCGTCAGCCAGCACGCACCTGGGACTCTGCCTACATGCATTTATTCGTACAAAGTCTGGATTCGATAGATATAATATATGTTATGGAATTGATATTTCGACTTGCGCATTTCTGTCTATTCTGTTGTTGTTGCTGTTGCTGTTGTTGGTCTTGTTAGAGACGGATCGATATCGATATAATGCCAACGGCCAAAGAAACAACGCGCATACGATGTATGTATATGGTCAAGGTGTAATTCGAGAGGTACCCATTCACAAACTCCAACCCCCCAAGGTACAACAACATTTGCTGCCAGTACCGATACCCAGCAGCCCAGCCCGGCCCAAGCCAGCCAACACACTCGGTATATCGCAACGCTACGCAACGTACCGCAACGAACGTATCGTACTTTTGTCGTTCGGCGCACGCAGCGGCATTAGCGTTTGCGATGGGGGGGAAAAAACCCCCCGCCCTTGGTCATAAACATTGGTAAGTCTCTTGGTACGGGATAACCTGGTATACCGTATGAGGATAGCAAAAAAACGGCATGGCAGGGGAAACCAGAAGGGAAAGAGAGGCCAGCGGGCAGAAGTGGGCACCTGGTCAAAATGGGGGTCCCTTCCCTTGAGAGAGACGACTTTTTTTCTGCCCTGCCCTTGCTTCATGGATAGGTACCTGCGATGTATGTACGTACTTGTACTACCTGTATGTACGGATACAGAGGTATGGAGATGGATGATGGGAGGCGGGACCAGGAGGGGAAGGGGGGGGTCCCGTGTGGTATTAGTGACAGGGGGGCGTGGCTCGTTGAATTCTCCCTCCCACCTGCACGGCGCACCTGCCTCATCCTCCTTGTCCCTCTCTCAGTCTCTGCTTCTGCCTCGTCTGCCTCTTTTTACCTGTTCTGCCTCTTCTGCTTTTTGACTTTTGCCTCGTCTATACTGTCTTGATGATGGATGGGCATTAGCACTGCTTGTGTGTGTGCACGCCCGCGTGTGGATCGACCGTTTCCCTCTCGTCAAAGAAGTACCTCTTCTACGGCAGTGGCGGCGGCGGCAGCACCACCACCACCACCACCACCACCACCACCACCGCTGCCACCTACACCCACGCTCACACACACACACACACACTTCTTACTTCTCCGCACCCAAGCCGCAAGGTGACCAGACCTCTCGACATTCATTGGCATCATTGCAGTTGTCTCACCCTGCCCAGGACCCTGTCCCGTGAGGCCCTTGGCCCTGTGCCTGATGCAAGAAAAGCCTGGTGGGCGGCAGTTGCCAGGTACCGACCTATCGTGTCGGCGGTGTGGGAAGCGGTCAACATGGGCCAGAGGGCCGCATCATGGGTGCTAACATGATACATATGTGCAACCTTGAAGAACGACCGAAGCAAGGTCCTCCGGGTCAACGACTGACGCCAGTCTCGCAGCTATGAGAGCACTCGTAGCAGACGAGGTCAAGCGGCGATGCGTGGTGCAAGTGTGGTGGTACCTCGCCTCATTTCTCCTACGCTCCTCCAACATCTGACCTTCCATGCTACCGGTAGTACCGTGGTACTTCCGCTTCACGCCATACTAGCCGACAGGAAACGACAACCCGAGGGGGGGCCAATGCCGGGGCCAGGGTCAGAGCCAACCCTCGACACCGGACCCCGAATATCTGTCTGTCTGTCTGTCTGTCTGTCTCTCTGGGGCGCCCTCTCTTTACCTGGTTTCCATTTGCTCCGAGGCCATTCCGGCTTGTTTCTGGCCTTGGGCACCGGAGCGCTGTCGGCAGTCTTGGAAGACTTGAAAGCAACACCCACCACGCATCACGGATCCAACAGCCAACACGCACATCGCTGCCATCCGATCAGCATCAGTCCTCGCCGGAAGATCATAGAGGAGCAGCGCCCCCATGGTCATCGTAACCCCAGTCACGGGTCTCACTTGGCAACGATTTACATCACCCACCCAACTGAGCAGGCCAAGGCACGCCGGTAAGCACCGGTACGACCACGCCTCGGTACCTTTGTTTTATAGGAGTGTGCGCGCATCCCCGGACTATCCGTAATGCCAGTTTAATGCGCAAGCCATTCGACAATTCGACGTTGGACATTCGATATCCCCTTCCAACAGCTTGCTCTGGCACCACCGGCAGACGAACCAACAGCCGTCGACCCCGGAAGCTTCAATGTTTACCGCCTGCATTCTTTCGTCGGCGCCCCAATCCATTGGTCCACTGCTACAAATTGGCAATGTCTCTCTTCCCGGCGAGACATTAGCCCACTGCCAAGTTCTCTCTCCCCTCTATTCGTAGGTACCAGTTCGGATTACCCGTTGACCCTTTTTGAGACGGGCCACGTTAGTCTTTGCCTTTTCTTTTCTTCTTCCCTCCGTCTTGTCAGTAGGTAGGCGCGCAAGCCTTGGTCATTCCTTTTGCTTTCTTCTGCTTTCATTTTCATTTGAACCATTTCCCCGTCCCTGTTTCTCCCGGTTGCTATTCGTCCGTCGTCTCCTCTGCACGTCTCCACAACCCAGCAACACGGTCCCCAAGTCTGAGTCTATTCCCACTCAAGCATATCCCCTCCCCTGATCTCATTCCGGCGACTGACTTTTTTTTTTTTTTTTTTCTCTCTTCCTGTC